TCCCGACGTTTGGTTCCTATGAGTGGACTTGATACGTCTGAACTCGTTGCTCTTTCCACTGTGCGGAATATTCACTATTGAAGGCTTTCTTGGATGGTAGCTGGTTCCGATGATTGCTAGAATACAACATGTCTTGCTTCTGTGACGTCAGCATACTCATCCAAGCCAAATCGAGTGGTTGTACCCCCTTTTGTGGATCTTTGAGATCGTCGAGGAGCTTTCTTCTGCATCCGTGTTCCTTTCCGTAGGCTCTGTTTGTCGTTTATCTTCCTTTGCTGGTTCTGACCCATCTTCAAATACTGTTTTTGAGATCAAATCATTTTCATTGAATTAACGTCTCTTCTAATCACTATTCTCTTGCTCTGCATATCAAAAAGTCGTTCCTTTCTGATTTGCACTGTACCCCAGAATCGAAGTCTGTTGGCTTTCTTGTCCAACTTTCTTCGCTCAAGCCTCTGGAATGATGAGCTAAGCTATGCAGCCGAACACACGAAAGAGACATCAGGTTTTCCATACCATTTTTCATACGGTGTTTGACCTGATGCGCTGGTTATAACCGATTCCTTATGTAAGGCTTGCAGTGTTGACTGCTTCTGCCAGAAGGTCTTGCTGAGTCGGCATGGTTCATCATCCGTTTTGCGGATTCAACGAGAGTCCGGTTCATGCGCTCAGCACTCCATTCTTGTGGAGAGTGAGGAACAGAAGTTCGTGTTTGATACCTTTCCTTTTCAGAAGATTTTCAAAGTCATTTGATACATACTCTCTCCGCATTATCTGTACGCAAGGTTCCAATTTTACATGCAGCTTCATGGTTGCAGGCTTCAAATTCTTTAAACCTCTTTAGTACCTCAGACTTCTTCTAATGAAGTAGACTTTGACACATCTCGAGTAGTCATCAATGAATGTGACAAAATAACGCTTTCCCGAAAAGCTCTGTATTGACATTGGTCCACATACGTCGCTGTTTGAACTATCTGTAATTTTCTAGAAGTCTTGATCCCTCTGTTGACTTGAAGGATTTTCTGCTCATCTTACTTTCCGCACACCCTGTGCAAAAGTTCAGTTCGTCATTTCCTTGGATGCAACTCCTTTGATGAGTTCTTCTTGACTGATTCCAATAGCTGTTTTCTATTTATATGTCCTAGCCGTTGATGCCAAATCATCCATCTGCTAAGTTAGTGAAGCCACCAAAAGACCGAAAGGCTATCGGGTGCAAGTGGGTCTTCAAAGTAAAGTATGAAGAAAATGGACAAGTGGAACGTTTCAAAAGTCGTTTAGTAGCAAAAGGGTATTCTCAGAAGTACGGCGTCGATTTTGATGAAACTTTTTCTCCTGTCGTGCGGTTCAGTTCTATTCGAGCCTTACTGGCTTTTGCAGTTCAAAACCGAATGCTGATTCATCAAATGGATGTAACTACGGCATTTCTGAACGGAGATTTAACGGAAGAAATCTATATGGAGCAACCAGAGGGTTACGTGATACGTGGAAAAGAGAATCTGGTTTGCAGGCTCAAAAAATCCCTCTATGGACTCAAGCAATCACCACGTTGCTGGAATCGAAAATTTAGAAACGCGCTCGAATCACTAAATTTCAGACAAGGCCAAGCAGATCCGTGTATCTTCGTGAAAGGATCTCTTGAAAGAAACAATTTGACAATTATTGCTGTTTACGTAGATGATTTAATCATCATATCCACTACTCAAGATGAAATGAAACAAATGAAAGTAAACCTGAGAAAGAATTTCAAGATGAAAGATTTGGGCAGCCTTCATTTCTGCCTTGGAGTCAGCGTTGAGCAAAGCGAAGAAGGAGTCAGTCTATCACAGAAGCAGTACATTGAAAAATTACTGAAGCGCTATGGACTTCAAGATGCTAATCCAGTGTGTACACCTCTTGATCCAAATGTCAAACTTGTAGCAGATGATGGAAACAGTAAACCTGTTGATAACGTTCAATATCAGTCTATGATAGGGAGTTTACTCTATGCTGCCATCGCAACAAGGCCTGATATCGCTCAAGCAGTGGGAGCTCTTTCTCAATTCAATTCAGCACCAACAGAAGCGCATCTTACTGCAGTAAAACGGGTATTTCGTTATCTGAAAGGAACAATCAATCTTTCGCTGGTTTACAAGAAATCAGAAAGCAAAGAAGTTACGGGATTTAGTGATGCTAGTTGGGCTGACGATATGCAGAATCGCCACTCAACCACTGGAAATGTCTTCATGATGGCCGGAGGTGCCATTAGCTGGCTTAGTCAAAAACAATCAACAGTGGCTCTTTCAACCGCTGAGGCAGAGTACATTGCCTTAAGTAAAGCTGCCCAAGAGGTCGTATGGCTGAAGCAACTGTTTAGAGAAATAGGAGACAATGTGCAATCTATAACCATCATGGAAGACAACCAAGGAGCAATTTCGATGACAAAAAATCCAGTCGGACATAAACGGACGAAACACATCGACATAAGGTATCATTTTGTTCGAGAACAAGTAGAGAAAGGGACACTGCTACTAAAATATTGCAACACGAAAGAAATGCTGGCTGACTTACTTACTAAATCACTGAACAGAGGTCAATTTGAGTACCTACGCTGCAAGCTCGGAATGCAATAAAACCTGAAAAGAAACTGTTGATTGAGTGGGAGTGTTGGGAACGTGCACTCAACAGTTACGTAATTGCTGCGTATGTAAGTAAACTAATGACCTTCGTAATTAGTAGCTAGTGTAGGACACGTGTTAGAGTAGATTGCTTGCTGCTCTATTGTCAGCTAATTAGAAGCTTCTAGAAAGTTCTAATGATCGCTGAGGTAGAACTTTTTAGCACGCGTCACGTAGAGTTTAGTTAGTTGCATGTTTCGCAGTGAACAAGTCGATAGAATCTCAAAACAACAATTGTAAGTAATCCCGAGAGCATTTTCCCTGACAAAATTGGTACATTTTGTGACAAGAGTGGGAAGATCTATGATTGAAAGGGTACTTTTCTGAAAAAGTGGGGAAGGGCATCATATCGCCGAAAGATGAGCCCAATTTCTAAGGGGTTACTTCTTAGAAATCGAATTTTTCCAAAATTTGGGAACAGTGCCCCTAGTGCACCCTCCAGTACCGACGCGTCCCTTTTTTCCTAGATTTAATTCGTTTTTGTTATAACTCATGAAAAAATCGCTCCTGTTACCATAGCTTTAGCGTCCACAAGCAAACACAGTGGTTTTTTTTATCAAGCGTTGAGATTTATCTTGTTATCTCATGACTCATGACTTGTGGCTTTCGTATACATTTCCCGCCAAATTTTCACCTTTGCAATCTGGCATTTTGCGGTACGGTGTCTCCTATTTAGTTCTGATAAGCTGCTCTGGGAAAGCAGATGACGGCAGAAAACAATACAGAAATAATCAATTAAAAATGGAAGTACTTTCGGTAATTTGAGGCACGAGCCCCTTGAACACGTTGTATAAGTCCTATTAATTATTATCCGTAGCTTTTTTTCTGTGTGAACACTTCAGTTGCTTTCCTGAAAATGTAAGACTATTCAGAAGCCTGGTACGACAAAACTATTGGCATTCAATGAACGACCCAGGCCGCTGTCGGTAGCCGCATTGTCTTGCAAATGAAACCACAAAGTAAGCAAAAAAGGATAAACAAAGCATCATGTTGTTTGATTACTACCAGTGACACGCTATCTAGGCCTAGATAATTCTAGCCACTTTCTGGAAAGCAGTCGATTCTGCCTATATTTACAGTATCAACATGGATTCGCTAAAATTAGTGGACCTAGCAAAGTTGACTACCGTGTTGGCACAAGGTCTAATCACTGGTACAGCCTACTACATAACAATGGTAGAAGTCCCAGCGAGATTGGCCCTGGACATGCCTTTAGCGGTAAAGAGCTGGAAACCGTGTTTTAATGGCGCCAAAAATTCCCAGGTATGAGCGTCCATCCCACAAACTCAGTCACTTAAATTTCAAGTGCTAATAGCTGTCGATTCGTTACCCTTTTATAACAATCGTATTTATTGCTACGCAAGTTCCTTGGATAGCAATAAATATAATTGCTCAAGCAAATCCTTGAAACAAAATATTTATCATTCCTACCATGTACATTTGTATTCATTTTTTGATGAGAAATGTATAAAATGTTTTGACAGAGGTAGGAGGGGGGTAATAACCTGCATACTTTACTGCTGTTGCCACTGGTCCCAAAGGTAAACACCCATTTACCATTCAATAAAATTTGCATCCTGGGCCATTTAATAAATAACTCCTATTTCCTCTTGAAATTCTTCAAAGATTGTTTCTTTTGTAGATTTTCTGGTCAACATTCAGCATGCTTGGTGGCTTCATTGTTTATTATCTAGAGTATGGAACACCAAAAGAATGCATCCTTTGGCCTATTGCATCAGCAATGGTTGTTAGTATAGTGCCATATACACTCATTGGCATGATGCCATTGAACAACCAACTGGTAGAAACACAGAAATGCATTGAAAAAGGTATTTTTTGTAAAATCTTATTACTATATTTGTAATTCTGCACAAAATGAGAAATTTGTATATTTAAGGCTCTTTTTGGTGATTTCCAAAATTTTTAGCATCTTTAACTTTTCTACAAAATCTAACATCCTTCCCCTAACAATTAAGATGGTGCAGCTTGCAGGGAATTTAAAAGCCAGTAAGGATGGTCCATGATTTTTTTTCTAAACCCAGTAGCAGCAATTCTGAATATTTGGTGTGTCATCAATCTTTATGAACATAAATTTTCAAGACACTTTTAAGGGCATAGCACTTCATGGGGACAAGACCCTGGATCCTTCTCTTTTACTAGTCCTTGGTCCTGGTCTTTTCCTTCCAATGTTGTAACAGTGGCAACAGCGTTTTCCATTGTTTCCATTTGGACTATGGAAGATGTGTTTTTGGCTTTATTCATCTTGTATCATTGCTCTTTGAAATCAATCGAATAGTTTGAGTTTTTGTTAGGCATTTCTCAAAACGAATAACAAATCCCCCGCACCCCCTTGAAGAAAGTATTGAAGTTTTGCCCCTGAATGCAAGAACCATGGCTCCCTTTGCCCCCTTAAACATCACCCTTAGTACTAAGAAAACGTTTTTTGACTACCGTATCTCTTTTAAAATCCAATAGGTAAGTATGGGGTATCATTTAAAAAGGCAATACTTTATTTCCTCCCTCGAATAAGTCAAAATTTGAAATGTGCCAACCCTTCAAGAAAACCCCCGCCCCTCAAATGACTATCCTAAAGCAATTCTTGATTTATTAAAACCAGTATTATTGGTCACTTTTCTTGATAAAGTTTGGCATTTCAGTTGTGACTTTTCTTCATACATAAATTTGAAATACGTGTTAGTTTTTGTAGTTCATTGTTCTCTAGCATCCGTCGTCATAGCTTGAAACTTTCCTGGGACTTTGAGGACAACTTCAAGCTTATTTTTCCTGTTAGCTTTTTATGACAAACTAATTTATTGAAATGACGAAAAATTTAGAGAGTGTCCACATTCAAAAAAGCAAAGTACGGCAAGAAACCCTATTAAATGCTAGAGAAATGCAAGGGGGCAGGCTTCAAGACAAGAGCATTGGAAAATGATCCCCCCATCAAGTATTCACCCTTTTATAACTGAAATTTTTATGTGATCTGCTGTAGGTATCTTGAAACAAGACTAACTTCTGGCACATAAAAACTGGCTACATTTTTTAATTTATCTCGTCAGAAACAACAGAAACATTAATTGAAAATGGCTCTTAGGTCAGAAGGTCATATAAATATCCGTGATGATTATAATTATAATCCAGACGAACAGGCTACTTTGGACCCCCTTGCCCCCTCCTGTAAAAGGACTACATTGGTCTTGATTAGAAAAATGATTTAAATATTCGTTTTTTATCCTTAACACGCGACTCAGGAACAAAAAGCACAAGAGTTTGAGAGAGTTTTCGAACAAGAAGGACACGTCAATGCAACCTTTTACGAATTCGAATAGTAAATATTTATGTTATCGATTCCATAGATTTAACTACAATTACAATTTTCTTTTCGGATTTTTGCTTCCTATTACTGATTTCGAATCTGGTGCTTGGAGTTTTATTTTCTGAATAAAGTAGAACAGTGTTCCCAACAAAAATCTATCGGTGCTAGTCACTCATGAACCTCGTCCATTGCCCGGGTAACATAAGTTATACACTTATGACACAATCGATGTGTTGGAAATACCAAAGATTGTGTAAAGGTTTAAGAGTCATTTCAAATATATTTATATTGCCTATAATTTTTTTTCCAGGTGATCGCTGGATTGAGGGCAGTCTAAAGAAATGGGGAAGTCTCCATGCAGTCCGTACTGTCATCAATCTGGGCGCATTCGGACTTATGTTATATGCTACATTTAAATCTACCAAGTAAACTTAATAAATAAACTACATATTTAGATTTACAAATAAGCTACCTGTTATACTTTGCTTTAGCCAACCGTCCCGGTCCATCCGGTTGGAACAAATTTTTCAATATATAATTAGATATTGTTATAAAATCAAGAACTGCACATGCACAAGATTTACGTTATTTTCCAAATCATCAAGAGACGTTGCACATACTCAGGGAGGAAGCTATCAGGGAGGGGGGTCTAGAGGGTTGTGTCACCCCCAGATACTTCCATGAGTTTGTCCGTAAATTTTTAGTTTGTGCAAAAATTCCCTGGTTTGTCGGTAAAATAGTCTATCGTTAGGTGAAATAGCACCTAAATTTCTCTTCATCTATGTCTTCGTCGGTAAATTTTACTACTCATGACCCTCCACCCCCTAGTCTGGAAGCTCAAGCTACGCCACTGCACATACTAAAGCACTTTCCAATGCTTGTATTTTTAAATAAAAGGAGATTGCTTGAACCCCATACAGTGTATATGATGTTGAATCTAGCAATCTCCCTGCTTTTTTGATTTTTTAAATAATTACATCGACTTTTCACCATCAGATTGATTTCCCTGCTATTGTGATGAAATCGATAATGAACTTTATGATTGATGAACTGGCACCATTTCAGAATTTCACTGGAATTTTTATCTTTTTTTCAAGAGAGTGATGCTTGCTCTTACTCCTTCGAATTGCTGCTTGTTTGATAGTACTTTAATACCAATGTTCGGGTACTCGGAAAAACTTTGGAGGCCACACCCTTTAGAACGCCGCAAAACGCCCCTTTTAAAAGATACTTCTTTCAATTCTTATTTATAAACAGTTTGATTCAGAGAAGATTGCAATTACTATGAAAAGAGATATAATTAAGCATTAAGATACTTAAAGACCAAGTTAACCAAGTTAGAAAATATCACATCCATTCATTCAAAAGGATTGCGTTCCTACCAAACAAAAAAGTTCCGTCATTTATGTCTGTCATTTATGTTCCGTCATGTATCATTTATGAATTTACGTGCCAGTGTGATTCTGGCTACGTAGGACGCACAACCCAAAGATTGGGGGATAGGATAAAACAGCATGTTCCTTCCAACATACGAAACAAAACTGCCCCTCAAAGAGAACAGCCTCCTCGATCTTGTAGGTCTAGAAACACTGTTAAAACAAGTGATTCTGCCATCGGTCAACATCTTTTAGACAACCCAGATTGTGCAAAACTCTATAATGACGACATGTTTCGGATAATTGGCAGAGCCCGGTCGTCATTCCATCTAGCAGTTTTTGAGTCAATCTACATAAAAACGAAAAAGCCGCCATTGTGTAGACAAAAGGAGTTTGTTTTCTCTCTTGGACTCCATTGGTAATTTTTCTTTAGGCTCGCGGCACTGCTTGGTCAACTATACCGGTCTTGTGCTTGCGTCTTTCTGATTGGCCTATTTCGATCCACAGCTGGGTATATTTTTTCCATCGTGTTCTTTCGGAACCTTGTTCTGACGTTTTATGCTCTGAGGAGTGTCAGACGAAGAAGCTTTTAGTATGTCGTAAAATGTTTGCTTTTTTCAAAGCCATTTTCAAATTCTGTACCGCAAAAAAATTGTTCACCATATATAGTTTTTATAAAGCATTTCTTCAGTATTGAACAAGAAGTGTGTGACCACAAAAGAATAAGCAACAGTCGTGACTCTGAAGCAAATTGGAAAATGAGATTGCCAAAGGCAAATTTCAGACTCAAAACAAACATTTTTGTCAAAAGCTTTTTGTTCGGCAAAAAGTAAAAGAGGTCATAGGCTCATTGCACTACCCGCCCACCATCTACTGACTCTTCACACCCCCGTTATCGAATGGGTCTTGAGTTTAAAAAATATTGAGAATATGAAAAGTATATATAAGTTAGAAATATTCTCTCTCTGCAAACAAAGGCAAGAATAATAGTTTTGTTGAATTGTAAAAGAAACAGGTTTATCTGCATGCCTTTATAAGATTATTTTCCAATCGGCTTCAAATTTTTTTTGCTCCCACTGATTTCCTAGCGTCCTATCGCTTCTTAATCAGGATAGGTGAAAGGAAATTAGACCACTTATCAAAGGAAATGTGCTTACTCGGGGTGTGCTTAGTGATGTGTTGTTGTTAACAAACGTAGTTAAAAATGTGTTGTTGACAAACTTATGAACGTGAGGGAGAAAAAGGACATTATTGTTCTATATATACTCCGAAAAATATACTTGCAGCAAAAACATCTACCCAATTTTCTACCATGTAGAAAAGGATGAAGCATGTACAAAGAGATCATTTTCTTATGTTGTTCGTGTGATTTTCTTTCAGTACCAGGCAGATAAGTAAGAGAAGGGTCAAAATAAGGAGGGATTTATTTGTTAGCGAGAAAAGGGAATTTGACGTAGTAAGATTCCAAATGAAATAAAATCATCCAAAAATGCAAGTCAATTCAAAGTTCTTATAAAAGATTGGTACTTCGAAAATCAATGCGCCTGTAACGCTTGCAGTCAATGACTTCCATAATGCAATCTCTTAAATTATTTCATTTTAGTGTTTATTAGTGTCCACACTATTGTCAAACTAACAGTAAAAAGGTTTTTTTATTATTATTATTATTATTAAGAGAAATTACTAACGCATTGAAGTAAGAAAAATAGAAATAGAAAATACGAATCGTGTGAAAATGTGATAGCAATAAAGGTTGAAAATTTTTTTTGAGGTTAATGTATGATCATATGGGAAACTGCAATGAAAAGTTTGCCATACGAATGCCTAGGTGTCTAATAATCGAGGCTGCCTCTAAATAAAGTGTCCAAAAAACGATTTATTCTCTTTGTGGTGCCTGAGAATCATTGTCCAATAAGATCGATTTGTACTCTAGCGTTGTTGATTTGACAATAGGATTTTGTAATTCTCCGTAATTCTGTTCTGATTATATTCTTTTTTTACAAGGTCTTTCAGCAAAAACGGTCCACTATTTTAGAAAAAAGGCACTTAGTCCTGAAGAACTGCACTGAACAAATAATGCACTTGTTCTTACAAAAGAGGTGATTCTTCTGACAAAGGGGTACTTTTTAGTGTTTAAAACACCGGGGTAGGACCTTTCGCTTTCCGTGTCTATACTCCCAGCTTTTCTAGCTCCTCGTACCTTAATGTTTCACAAACGTTCTCGAATAGAAATCGGTGTAGCGGACATGTATGGGAGTGGGATGATTGGATTACGATCTCTTGATTTTACACAATTTGAAAAATTTATTTCTACAATAGTTTGGCCTAGGCAGAAAAACGGCCGCTCAGACAGTTTATTATGATTGTTTTATGATTGCTTTGGCCAAACCATCTACCAGAAAGCTCGTTATCCGCCAATGCTTAATTTCATGGATTCGTTCTGAAGGTTTTAGAAGAACACTGTTTTCCACCAACTGAAATTCAAGACGCCAATTGATGAAATCCAAAGTGGTTCTCTGATGACTCAGGACAGTTGAGAGTTTCAATAAATTTACGTAGGGTTTTGCCTTCCGCATTCGACATAAAATATGTGCACAAGTCCGATATCACGACTGCCTCAAACATCTATTCGTTGTTTCGAACAGTTAAAATATTTCTTCCCATATTTTGTCTGGCCAAATCATTCATACTCTAAAAAGTAGGGCATAATAAGCAGTTTAGCTCCACTTTTTTTCAAAACTTTACTTGTTTTTCTCGATGGTCTTTCCAACTTGAATGGGAGAAGGTAGCATCCTTTTTGAAGGTTATTCCATTATTTGATCACCTCCAAGCTAGTTTCTGTAGCCTTTTTTGGATTATATAACTTTCAAGAGAGGTGTTATTATCAGGCCCTTTCTTCACAAGTGTCTGATCGTTTCTGAAGATAGTTCAGGTTTTACATAACTTCATATCCTTGTGGACGTAATTCATTAAATTACGTCATCAAAAAATTGTTACCAAGAAGAAATCCAAAGTGCTGCTGCACAGGCGCTTATCGTTTGACTCGCCAGTGCAGCTTGTCTAGCAAAAGCGATCTTGTGTTTGCACTGAAGTTGGGGTCGGGAAATTGGTTCCAGCCAAGAAATGAGTGTGATAGACCGTGTAGAGTCTGCAAAACATATTTTAGCAGGATCACCGATTGGACGGGCTATTGCCAAAGCCACTAGTCGGGAGATTATTGGACCAAAGAAGAAGCATGTTGATTGTAAGTTGAATTAGGCCCTGAAGGCTTAGGCCAAATACTTCAATTTAGGAAGTGTGTTTGCACTTTTTAAAATTGCAAAAATTATATTCACAGTAGTGTATCTGTTTGTTTGTTTAATAAGTCCGAATAAAAATACAATTGCCTGAGAGAAGCACGTGATTAGTGCACTGGTTAAAATCCAGAAACTTGATACACGAACACTGGCCTCCCGTGTGGAAGCAAATCGGAAGCGTTGTTCAGTCTACTATTTTGAGGTGGTGCTAATTCCCATCGTGCTGTTTTCCTGACACAAACTTTTTAAAGACGTGCAGGAATGGAGTGCACTCTCTGACAGTCTTTCAAACTTGTACTTTTACCATGATTCTCATCCTATTTTTACTCGGAAACCAGATTGTTAATTAAATTAGTTAACCGTCATTATGACGATATATGTTCTGTGATTGTTTGGCTGTCATTATAAAACAAGCAAAAGTCCAAATATGGAATTTTTAACCATAATCCAAGGAAGTTTTTGATAAATTCCAAGTAAACAAAACAATGTAAAGAAATTTAGTTTATTGACATTTTTTTAAGTAAAGATAAACAAAACTATGATATGCTTTAAAGTTTTTCATATACAATTTTTCAGATAAGAACCCATATACATAGGAGTCATAGGGGCTGCAGCATACTAAGCCAACTTAAACACTTGGCCTCGACTACCCCATGTAAGAACCTGATACGCCCATCTAAGAACCACTAAGTAAAAGTTTTGGTTTCCATTTTTTGGTGGCATGGTTGTTTATTGGATACAATTTGCATTGTTTTACAAAAATGAGAGGAAATTTCAACAAAACACATTGTCTTTTCTTCTAATTTTTCATCTGAGGTCAGATATCTTCTTATATTTTTCTTCTTTTTTTGGCATCCATCTCTCTGTGTTAGTATAGAGTGTTTACTTAGCAATATATATAGTCAATCAGGGTTGCCATTTGACTGTTTTGACGGCCAAATTTCTCCATTCCGGCTGGTTTTCAAAGCTGTTGGCTATCGAAAATTGATTTGGCTGAAAAAGCAAAAATTGGATGCATGTTGAAAGCCGCAGGAATGCAACGAATGCAACAGTTTTAGCACAGACAAAATTCAACATTTTGTCAAAATAATCGCAAAATTGCAAAAAGCAAAACAAGAAACAAAGTAAAATATGGCAAGAAAGTGAAATTGAAAGCAAGTGGGAGCTTTTGTGACAAAAAAGCCATTTTTGATTAACTATTACTCCAAAAAAATTAGCCAAAATGTAGCTTTTATGTATATTTTGTTTGGCTGGCTGAATTTGGCCATCAAGCTTAGAGTATTTGGCCGCCACCAATTCCAAGCATCTGGCAACCCTGTAATCAATATGTTCTGTAGCTAACAGGAACATGAAGCCAAACCATAAATCAAAGCATAACCAACATCATGCTATACTTCTAGCCACAGATGTTGGATTTATATATAATACACATCAATATACAAATATTGCATTAATAATATATATATAGCTTTATTCAACTTATTTCAATTTCATATATATATACAGGCCATACCAAGAATAGATTTGCATGCATGCAGTGAATCACACTCTTTGGCAAATCAAAATGCTATTTCTTTTTTAGCATAATAAAGAATTTATAAAGATTTGTTGGAAGTACAAAATTTGAAATTTTCTACCCATTTTTGAATTATATTTTGCACAAGGAAATACGTTTTCTTTTTGCAAATGGAAATGGAATGGAATTTAAAAATTTTGCAAATGGAGCAAAAAATTTTATTAGAAGGCAGAAAAACAACACAAAAACAGGGGTTTTCAAAATGCTATCAAAAGTGGATATCCACAAAAGTAGAGGATAGAGGTTCTTGAAAACACACTGGATCAATGTGTACACACAAACACAGTAAAAACCATAAATATGGTCAATCTTTACTTCGTTTCTGTGAGCAGTATGAACGCACAAAAAAAGAAGGGGGTGTTTCTGAAAAGGCTCCAAACAAACATAAAAAGATGGAAGCAGTGTGAACAGCCATATAACAAGTATCTTTATTTACTCATAGGCAGATTAAAGTGAAAACAAGTGTTGTTTACATGAAAACTCTTATTACTCCTGTCTTTGCTCATATAAACAGTTGAATCCAATATCAAATGAAAATGCTGCTGTGTAGGGAAGATAAAATAAAGGCAAACTTCCTATGGTGTAGCGTTAAAGTGTTCTGGTACACTTAAGTGTTCTTATGTAAACAGAGCTGAAAATCCAAGATGAAATGTAAATGGTAACATGTAATCAGGCAACAATTTTGTGTTGGTTTGGCAAACTGAATACATGAAATGAAAACGTTTAATGTTTTCTGTAAAGGTAGCATCTCATCTTAACCACACTTTTTTGGTAAAGAAGGTGGGTGCCAAGGTGTGCACGTGCGATTGCACACCTTTCCAAGGATGGCCTTTTTATATATCTTAAAATAATTTGTGTTTGTTGTTGTTGTTCTCAATTCATTGCAGTGTTCCTTAAATGAATGAATTTAGTTTTTGAATCAGAATTTTCATCTCAAAAATGTATTTTGGGAAAATTGATTAAAAATTATGGCATGCCTTTTCATGAAGAAATTTTTAATTGGGGACAAACTGCCCACTTGGATGAGCTAATTAGGATGATCACCCATCTAACAATATTGGTTAAAGTGAAAGTCCTCCATAGCCTTAGGGGGCAGGGCCTAAGGGGCCATTAGGTTATCAAACTACCCACAAATGCCCAGCCTTTGATTTTTAAAATGTGTGATCATGGTCAATTTTTAAAGTTTGTTTAATGTAACACGAATAAAGAAGCAACCATGCTTTGTTTTCATTATCTACTTGACCTTTCACTCAGGAACAGGATGATTTGTATGAACAAACTTTTCCTTAAATCCTCTTCTTATCTCTTGTGGGGAGACATGTTTTGGCAAGGGTGGCTAATATCCAATGCCAATATATTGACAAGGGCATTGGCAAGGGGAGCGCAATAGCTGGCTTGAAATTAAAAAGGCCTGATTATGGTATAGATAAACAAAGACTTGCCTGTACATAAATGCATATCTAAATATGTTATATAATTTGTATTTATAACTTGGTTTTTGCTAATCTATTATAGATTTTTTTTTAATTTTGTAAAATTCAATTATAAGAAAGTAAAGAATGAATGAATAAACAGTTAATTTTAAACCATATGATTTTTTTATGATGTGTTAAGATGAACAATTAAGTTAAAATTTTGCTCAAAGCCATACTTAAATATGTGAATTATAGTAGATGTGATAAGTCAGATAATTTGGTTGTGATTGAATCAAGTCTTCATAAAGAGTATTATTCAAGTCATATTTTGAATCCTGTCAATTGTCCAACAACTCTTGTCAAAGAATCTTAATTTTAAATTTACAATCCGACTTCTGTTCTGATAATCAAACTGTAGAAGGGCTTTTAAAAATGAATCATTAAATGGTATAATGCCAAAAACAAAGACATCATCTTTGAATTCTAATACGTGGGAAGGTATGACATGGTAAATAACATCGTGTGTTAGTATGTAGTCTGCAAATATGCAGAGGTAGGACACACAACAATGAAGGTTTTTGTTTGTTGCCTTTTTAGGTCAGGATTCATTTCAATTTTTGATAATTTTTTAGAGATTAATCAAAGGGATCAGCTACTGGACATTGTTGATTGATTAGAATTTCTTTGCTCAGGTCGTTTGTCAAACTGCTGTTTCTTGAAATTATATTTTGAGTTGGTTGTATATGGTGTGTTTTAACAGTTTCTGTATTTTGGCAAATGTTTATAATAATTATTCTCTACTCTTTAAGGTTATATAGGTTTTACTGAACAATTATCTTGCTTTATTGAGGTTTTTCAGGCAGGCAGGTTTCTATGCTTTCAGCTATAGGATGTTTTTAGATGCATTGTTGCCGATATATATCACCCTCATCTCTATAACCTTGATAGAATCTTTTCTTTTTTCTAGTTTTCCACTTTGTCTTATGTTTTCAAGTATGAATAAAATATATTTTGTTCCACATGTGAAAGTACCTTGTTTATCTCAATATTTCTTAACCCAATTTAACTCAGCTTTCGTATTCACCTCAAACACACCTCCAACGCCCAAGCTTCTGTAAAGAAAGAAGTTAAAAAGATAAGGGCACTTAGAAATAAACTGAGGCTTCAAAGTGAGGGTTCTCAGTATGGGGATTGGGTCGATTCTTATTCACAATTCATGTTCATATATAATAATTTGTGTCTCATTCCATCTGCTGATACTGTGGCTTACCGTGGCCTTCCAAACTAGGGGCTGAAGGGTCATGACACTAAGTATCTACCAACCTATGATTTTGGCAACCAATTGAATCCTTTAATGACTAGCTGATAAAAAATTTGGGATGACACAGCCCTCAATCCTTCTTTATTCTATCAAACATATGCTCCATAAAAATTCCTGGTATAAGAAGCAAGACCACCAGGAATCCTGACTGAGTTGTTTAGTAAATTTGAAAAAGTATTGTAGTTTTGCTGGCAAGGAACGCATTTTCGAATTCTATACCCCCTGTATACCAGACTTTTTTGTCAATTGCTTTGTTACATCATTGGAAATTTTCAATAGGCCTGCAAGCCCTCGTCCCTTAATGCTTCCATCATGTCATAGGCCGAATCTTTTCAAGCCAGCATGTATTTCAGTATATGGTTTCTGTGTTGCATTCTAAAGATGTGAATGGGCATCCAAAAAAAGCTTAAGTATGATTGACCAAAGTATGTGATTGTGAAGAGCAGGTTAATATATTGTGGCTTTTGGTCGCTTGGCAAAGGATATGGTTTAAATTTTGAGGGTAGAAGATACCGCCAGGTCAGTCGGTTTAGATAGGGATTAGGGACATTAATACACGATTGAAAATGCCTGATGAAGTGTTTTATTGAATATTAGGAAGTCAATAGTTTCCAGTTATTAATTATTTATAATCGAATCCTCTAATGTATTGCGTTGGGAAAATATGAAGCAATTAGCAAAATCACTTGAATGATATTATATTAGCAACTTGTGCCTCGTTCTCCATTTTAATCATGGTCCTAAATATGGCCATAATAATAACAAATTGCGGAAGGTTTTTTCGCTATTTGTTAATGTGATTGCTAAGCTGTCTTGCTTTTAAGGAAATCGTGATGCCATTGAGAGTTTTAATAATGTTTAATAATTATCTCAGTCGAAGATTTTTTGGTTAACAAGTTTATTGAATGGCTGTTAAAAAATTGGTTTGACACTAAATCGTCATATTCTACGAGTTGAAACGCGGATTGCAAAGTACAAACGAAGCAGTGAAAGGCACTTTTCTATGTTTTTACGCACATATTAAAATTATAAAAGACATTAAAATTGACTAATTCACCTTGGTTTGCTTCATCTTACAGTTGATAATCGTATTTAAATTTTTTGTCTTCTCCTAGGAACACTCTATCTAATTTGTATACAAAGGCAATATTTACCCAAAAGCATTATTACCATCGCCTTTCCTTCATGCACCTGTTTTCTCGAGCATATTTGTCTCTTCATCTATGCAAAATTTCATTATGTCTCGGTCAAAGCTCCAATCCTGGCCACTTCGAAAACTACGCTATTATGTTGCACATTGTCAAAAAAGAGTCCCGCTCTTCACTCAAAATAAAGTTATTCTATTGAATTTCAAGAGCGAAATTATTCTCCAACTGATTCTTGCCAGATAATCTTGCTAGGTAGCTCTACAACAAAGAATGTTTTAGCGGAAAAGGAGTAATATATAGGTATTTTCTACCGCAAACAATACATTTAATGACAGCATCTTCTAAGGACTTTTCAAAAGGCGTTTTAAAGACTTGTGGCAGGGATTGTATTTCTTTTCTTGCCCTAAAGATTTTAGAGCAACCATCAGTGCAACTTTTTGTCTCAAATGGTAAGACTGGAAAAGGCCCCGCGAGAAATGGTGAATAAGCTTTGAAAGGCTCATACATATAGGCATAAACATGACGGTCAAATTATGGCACAAGTAACATTAGGCTTGGGGGGGGGATTTAGAATCTCAATTTTCTGGACAGGGCTGCAGCCTATTAGCTTCTCCATTGTCTTAAACCCAGTTTATTTCCAATCCAAGATAGGAGGCCTATTGAAGCGTAGAGTATGATACATCTATCAGACCACATCACGTAGAGAACATTACCAGGTTTTACTAGGGGTAAACCGCCATCCTTGCAGTCCCTCAGTTATTCTTGGAATATAATGGTAATTTTTCAACGAAACTTTTCTTCTCCATAGATTTACTGCAATCCATCAACTTCGAAAATGTCAATATCCCCAACATGGTTGACATGTTGTTCGAACGGACTCAGAATTCAAGCTGGATTGTCACCTTCAAAGGTCTGATTGTTTTCCACCATCTTATGTCCTCTGGCAATGAGGTATGTCCTTGCTTTTAGTTGTTTTTAGTTGCTATCGCTGCAAATATTGTTCAAAGAAGTTTAGAAATTTGACAGAAAAGATATAAAGACATAAATATGACAAAAAAGCTGCCCTGTCGATTCATTTTCTCGTGAAGATGAATCAAATATATGCACATCTACTATCCATATTTGCATGCTGATTTATTGGTTAAAGAAAATATAGAGCTCTTGCCTTGCCTTCACTTCAAAAGTATATAGTTGCTTTTTAGTTTCCTTCATTAAATCGTTTTGTCTGTCAATCTCTGTGGATTTCGTTTAGAAAATGCACACGTATACTCAAGCAGCTTGTTCATAAACAAAAATCCACAAAATGTCCAAGCATGAAAAGGAAATGATGGGGTCTTCCAATTGACCATTTTGATGAATTCGACTTCCTCCATCAGATATTAACTACTTCTTCCTTTCTAGTAGCTAATAATAGGTTCTGTAATAGATTCAGTCTACGCATAGTGGCCTGACGTTTATTCATCTTTTAATGCATGCAAAGAATGAAAAGATTTGTGTACCACAATATTCGTTCTTGGGGCCTATGTTATTTACATCATTAACAAGTAAATTTCGGAGATTATATTGTTTTCCTGTCATATACTGAATATGAGAAGCGGTAAACGCGCTCAGCAATTTTTTCCCCTTAGATGGGCTTAAAAGGGCTATAATGACGATACGGCCATATAAATATCAACGCTTTGCTACGAAAATCTCGCTGGATTTGCTGAAAAATGTTTATCAAAGACCTACCTCATAAAAGCACCACTAGATAGAACTGATCGGAATGTTTTCAATGTATTTATAAAAAAACTTTAACTTCACAATTGAGGAAGAAAACACGAACATAGGCTCAAAGTGAATGTTGAAAACACCAAATAAAATGCCTAAAGGAACTATCCTAGAGATGATACTAAACTCTATTGTTATCCAAAGAGTGTGCCGTGGCTTTACAACATCTACGTCTTATCGAAACATGTCTTTAACCTGGAAGTAGATTAAATCTGAATTACCAAAGTAAAGATGTTTAGCCAAAGTTTAAAATACTTTTACAGGGTCATTTATGTCGCTTTTTATGGCAAATTCGAGTCAACTGAAATCAGCTGGCATTTTCCACCTAACATGGTTTTCATCGACAACCATAACAAGATGTACCCAATACAATTTGTTGTAAAATATGAGCCAAATTTGGAAAGTACTTTTAAAAGACTTTATAAAATAGAAACGTGAAAATTTATTCATTGACCATAACCTCACAACGACGTTTAGCTCGTTCTTTATCAAAATGTTGACCTCTTTGAAGATGGGCCGGCGAACAGTATGCTTTATATCCACCAACAATTCTTTACTTTTCTGCCATGACTGCAAAATGACACTTTTCTTTGAACTTGCTAGATAAAATTTTGAATTGAATTTTTTGCCAGATGAATATATTACATCAAATAATACGGCAAAAATTGAAAAGAAAGTTCTTATTAGGAATATTTGGTTTGGTTTTCAGCTTTAAGTAAATGACAATTTCTGTCGTGATATATCCCTAGCTATTATAAATCCAGTTATCATTTAAATTTATCGTATATTTTCTTATCTAATAACTTTTCCTGTGAAATCTGAAATTACCTGCTTTAAATTGCTTATCTGTCGAAGTGCTGTTGATAATTAGAGCATCGTGACAGACGACATCCTTTATTCCCAGATGTGGATGAGACATGCTCATGTATATGCCTTGAACTTAAACTCACATTATTATTGTTTGTAGTACGTTTTGATTAAACATTTGCAAATTAAGGGCAAGTCAATTAAGCAGTTCCATAGAGATAAAATTGTCTGATAGTAAGGTTTCCTGTTATAAATTTTAGGGAAACGTGCTAGACGTGAGAATCTCCTCGATCTTGGTGTCTGATCTCCATACATGAATTGAAAAAGGGAAAAGATTATTAAAGCTTGCCTTTGCGTTGCTGGCTCTTTACAGTATGTTGCGAATATAAGGGCATCTAAATTTAGCTATCGTTTGCAATACATTTTCTTAGGCTTTACTCTATTAAATAATTAAAACTAGCTTCGTACGTTTTTGAGAATTCATACCAAAACCACCAAAACCGAATCATAAATTTCTGACTATATTACAACTTCCTTTTCGATAAAACATTGATTTTAGCGATCATTGCTCATATTTGAACCAGTTCTAAAAATCTTTAATATACACTTAGTCTTCTCAACCAACATTTCATTGCAGAGGTTCATCCAATGTTTGGCATCACGATCTGCTACGTGGATGCTTCAGAGTTTTCTTGACAAGAGTGGTGTTCAGGGTATGTGAATGTATCGCATTTGCGAATAATTTTATATTGGTCTACGCTGGTCTTCGAAATGCCTCTAAGAGGCTTTAGCTCGACAATATTGTTGCTTATTTCTTGATGAGCTCGCATTTGAAATCTTACTACCTACTACTTGTCCAGCTGCTTAAAGTAGTTCTCCCGCATGGCTGCTTATCAGCATAACCGTGACAGGCTTAAAGGATATTGTCTTTTTAAGCTTATGGTCTTTGCTGTAATTCGCTGTAATAAACTTTTTTGACATACACCTTGCCATTCATAGATTTTCGGTAAATTTAATCTCGAATATGCCTACCTCAACCTTGCAGTTTTGAAATATAATGAAGCAGTTCTATTTGCTGTCTGTAGCTGAAATGTCTTCTTGATATGCCACTTTTTATCGTATTTATTTATTGAGTTTATTTTGGTATTTCTGTATGTTGTAATCTTACTTTATATAATTTTTAACTTAATAATATTTGAACAATTTAAGCTGAAATTTTTTTTGTTTTAAGTGAGCCATATTTTGAGATGAATGGAGAAGATAGTTGATCATTATAACAAGGATTTTGATTTTGTTTTTTATCTTACTTATGTGTAGATGAGCGATAATCATACATTTTGCTATGCCTTCTAGATAATATCATAAACACAAAATATTAATTTGTCCCTTTGCTTAACGACTGAATCTTTCGTTTCTCTATAAATTTTCATAGGCAAATTTTCCTAACACCAAGTAAAGAGCTACATAAAACGTCAGATAATTATTATTAGCATTTGGTAGATTTTTACAATTTTTTGTGTTTCGGTTGATTTTGATGGACAAATTTTCCTAAATGCTGAATATATAAATTTTGATAGATTGCCAAGAAATGGAGTATTTAAATTCTTTGACTTATATAAGACGGTTTTTCTATTTAGGATATGATATGTCACATGTTATTCGTCGCTACTCGCATTTTCTCAGCGAAAAAGCTTTTATTTACCGCACGATGGGTTACGATTTCTGTAGAATTCCTCGAGGGTAAGTTGCATATCATCCTTCATATTTTATGTTTCAATGCTTTATTTGTGAAGTAGTACAATTTTACTTAAATTAAGTAATCGTTTTGAAGTTTTAACTCGGGTGATTTGTATCATCATCCCAATATTGCATTTGTATTCTGTTGCTTTATCTAAAACTTAAGGTTGGGCAATATACTTTTTGTAACAAGATACAGTAACTTGAGTAAAAGAAAACATCATTATAGTATGTATTTACCTTTAGGAAATCTGATGTATCCGAAATATTATGATAATAAAAGACGATCCATTTTTGTTGGAAATCTGCTAATTTTGTAAGCCCAAAATTTTTTCCCAAGAACTGATCTTTGATAATCATGAAAAGAAGACACATTTTGCTTCCCTTTTTCTATAATGTTTGGATGTAATGTTGTTATTCTCTGTTTTAAAGAAAATCACAAATGTTTGGACTTTTAAACTCTCTTCTACCTTGCTTTTATCGAGTACTTGAGTTATAACGGATGTGACATCTTTGCAATTTTGTAGAAGTCTTTTTATGCTAACAGAATTAAATAACAACACGAAGAGATACTTACAAAGTTTATTTTCAAACTTGCGAATCTTCCTGCAATTTTTTGCCACCATAAAGATGCGATATTTTGTCATTATAATTCTGCCAATTTTCTAAATAGCCAGTAAAAATGCTATTACGAAGTTTAACACTGAAATCGATATTTTTCTGTGAAGTTACAGTGTATTTTAATTTGTTAAAATTGATTTGTGTTTTGCTCTCTTTTTGTCAAAAAAAAAATTGCCCACCCCAGTGTATTGAGTGCACTTCTCACCCCAACATTTCTTCAAAAGGTTGTTTTGTTCTTCATTACAGGAAAGAAAATGGTGTGCTTAGAAATATGGAAACGACAAAAGTGAGATTTTTCTTTTTACATCCATATTTCACCAATGAATGTTTTCACAGATGTTTCCTATAAGATATTTCGTAAAATTCAGGTACAGAAAAATTTGAAGAATGATGGGATATTACATGGTATGCATGGGAAAACCTAGAAAGTGACGAATGTTGATTTTGTTTCTTCCTGTAAGAGTTATTTAGAGCAGCATTTTAGCGTTATTGCTTCGTACCTACTTTCATTTCACAGTAAAAAGTCGAGGTGTATTTGAATAGTCGTTGCATTTGAATTGTTTTTCATAATACCGTAAATTCTCGAATTAGCTCCTGGGGGCTTATTTATTTTTGATATTTTTGGACGGGGGTTTATTCGAGGGTGGCTTATAAAATTGTTGTAGGCAATAAGAAGACATTATTAAAAGACCTTGTTTATTTTAGTATTCTAGAATTTCTTTATGAGCATTTGATTAATTACTACCAAAAGTATGAATTTGTCGTGGTAATTCAATAAAACGCCATAGGCAACCTCAGATGACAAAAACCGTCAAATTGAGGGGTCCCATTCGAGAATATGCGGTAGCGGTGGGGGCTTATTCGAAGGGGGGGGCTTATTGACAATTTTTAGTTCTAGGGTGGGGGCTTATTCGAGGGGGGGGGGGGCAATTCGAGGATTCACGGTAGCTTGTGTATAGGATATTTTGGAACTTTTGAATTATATCATATTTTAATAAAACTGTTCTGATTTTATATCAATAGATATTTCTATTTAACTAAGTATTATGGCACCATTAGTGTTTTCTTTCTCAACAAAGAGCCAAGTAGAGCCAAAGTTTGATAATCATTAAATTGTCACAAGAATTGACAAGAAAAATTCATTTTTCAGCTCCTGAAAGCTCTCCCTGAAATTCAAAGACAATTGGATGCGCTGCTGAGCACAGAGGTATTTTTTCAATGAATGTTACTTTAAGACTGTTTCTAAGCAGATATGTCTTGTAATAAGTCATTTCCGGTTATGTCATTGGTCATCAAAATCAAACATTCTGAAGATAGGTTTTTGTGTCGTCATCTTCAGGATCTCTGTTGCTCTTCGCATATGATTTTGTTATTTATGTAGTTTGTTTCAAACGATATTACGATGACATTATTGCGACAATATTCAATTTCTTTGTACAAAGTGATATTATTCATTCGACGTACAACACGCTGAACTACATTGATTATTGAATGATATCACGATGTTCTTGTACTGTATGCCAAGATTAAACACACGATATTCTGCAAGCGAATTTCGAAATGGAGTGCTTTCGTTTTTACAAGCAGAGAGTCTTGGTTTCCGATACCAGACCAGATAAATGTCTCCATTATTCAGAGGTTCCAATGCCGATGGCTCTGCCAGCAAGAAATTACTCCTAATAGATAGTTATTAAACATTCAGAGAACTTCTAGAGGGCGTGATTGTGAAGTTAAATTCCAGTACAGTGAAAGCGTGATTTGCCAAGATTTAACACCTTTTTTGCAGTGCGTATTGATTGTATGAAGCTTTTTTATTATGCCAAAAAAGTCTTTTACCGGTTAAGGAAACCCTATATCTCTCTAGTAATAAACTATTAAAATTGTTTTTGATTTTTTTTGTCTTCCTTCATGTCAACCCCTTCTTTATGAAAACATTTCATGGCAGTCCTTCTACATATAAAGGATTTTGCTGCTCAAAACCTTTTTAACTCGAACCATGTTTTCAACCTGGGAGGACTCTAACAGTTTTTCCGTGGATAGATTTGGCGGATGAATGAATCCATTTATTGTCTGCATACATGTTTCCCACGAGTCCATTAGTAGAAGGTTTAGGTAATTAATGAAAGGAAAATAGGCCTTAACTATCAACCCTGCGGGACGCCAAATAATTTTAAGTTCCTTGAACGTGGAAGCAATATTCTGCTTCTTTTATCCCTGATATATGTTCAATTTCATCTTTCCCTTCCTCTACATACTATACAAAGCTTTTCCTCGTGACCTCTGCTAGCAATTAATAATATCTTGATCTTGTTATTATCTTCTGCAGGAATATAGTAATTTTTTTATGCTATGTTTCCGCGTTTCCGTGCTCTATTCAAATATATTTTCATGTTTTTAAGTAATGGCATAGAATAATCTTCTCGTAGGTATGTTGAATTATTTTTTAAGTTCCTCAAAGTTTTTATTTTCTCGCTCGATTCTCCTTTATCGATTCTCCTTCACTGGCAGACATGCAGCCAAGCTTCCCCCATTCAATAATCCCCTAAGGGTGCGCCACTGTGTATCAGTATCTTCTAACCGCCTTTTTTGTCTTTTATAGCCAGATATCTCACTCACTTCTATAACCAGATTTTTCATTGCTTGTATTGTAAGTTCTACATAAAGAGAATTTCCCAGAAGAAATTCAATGTTAACGTTTCTTTGTTTTTTTGAACATTTGTCAAGGCAATCTTGGGAAATTATGCAGTAGATCTGGCAGCTAGAATTCTGCTTTTTTCTCACCTAGCTGACTTTCCTTCCATTTCACCTCCAATCTTAGCTTTGTGTGCAACCTATGCTGTTTCAGCAACCTTCCGTCCCCCTACAATCACTTTCCTGTTGACTCATTACCACGCCAGACTTGAAATCTGTAAGAAACAGGAGTTCTTAAGTTAAAAAAACAATGGTTTTAAAATTTTATGGACCAGCAGAGCAATTCGATAGCGTAAAATGACCAGCAGAGCAATTTTATATTTATTCAAAAACTTGCTTAATTTCTATTCAAAACTACATAATCAAAGAGACTGGGAATTAGAATCAGATGACGTCATGGCTTAGTGGACAGAATTTAGTTCTGGATTCTTTCTTTCATTGGAGATCATGGCTCAGTTTGTACGAGCGCGAAAACATATAAGATTGGATTTCATTTGGAAAGCAAAAAATTCAACCTGCACTGTCTAGTTTAACCTGCTCTCGTAGTCAACTCAGTTGCTGCTGCGCATGCTCGTTGGTTGAGAGAGGTTGGCCCGATCCTGTCTTCTTCCCGAAAAAACATTAATGCGATATTGTGGCCCAAAAATAATTCTGTGGGTAGATGCAGAGAAAACGTTGTTGTACCGTAACGATCTCATTACGCAAGATTAAAAGGATCTCCGCGGCCACAATCGCTTTAACGTCACTATGAACAGGTCAAGAGCACTTTCGGTACTCTGTGGTTAAAGCTGTTAGAACGTATTTCAGTTATTAAGAGCATCAATGTCCTCCATTTATGTGGTTATGTTTGTTTTAATATTTTCTTCGGCACATGACATGGATAAGGCGAATTATTTTCGTCTAAAGAAAAAAAGATATAACCTTTTTAGCTCTAAAACGTTGTTTTTCTTTTAGTTCACAGGAAACGACATGACAAATGGCGTCATCACCGCAGCTTTCATGCTCTTATTTAAGGTGAAGCCCACATTCTTTGCAAAAATAGATATATACATTGTTTTTCCTAAAATATCGCCACTTTGAGAATCTTCACAAATATATAAATAAATTTTTAGTTATCTTGTTAGTTATCTGTGTTTACAAATGCCGATCTGATTGTTGTCAAGAGAACTTTATTATGTTTGTTTTCATGAACACATCAATATCAGCTAAATCAATTAAAATAAGCACACAATAGTTCCTTTTGAAACAGTAATACTTGAGGGAAGCATATTTTGGTTTACTCATTCATTGCTGCTCTAAAATTAGCATTGGATTAATGAAATCATTGCAAGATACATTGGTCAAGATTTTAATACCTAGCATCCTAAGGTATTTTTTAATCTAAGAAGCTCTGCTTATCGAGCAGTGTCCCCGTCTTTCCTCTCACTATGACCAAACCTCGCGGTTCCCACGTCACGCCAGGATTTTTAGAGAGCTGGTGGCTCTTTTCACTCTAAGTGAAAATTTGATTATATCAGTGACCCTTGCATCTGTAGTCTGCAAGCCTAACCATGTGGGGAATCCAATGCCGCGTTGGTGTAAATGTATATTTCCTGTGACACACTGAATAGCTTCACAAACAAAATGCATCTCTTTCAACGCTATGAGAAGATACGTCCTTCTAGCTTAGGCCAGTAGTTTTTCTCCAAGAAGTAAAAAAAGGGTCGTCTTTACGATTTTCGCCAGAGTAGATTCTCAACTTAAAACGGAATTGCTGCAGAAAAAGCTACTCTACCCTTATAAACTGTTTAGCAAGAAATTCTAGAATATGCTTGTACAACATCACGTGTTCAGAAATACAGTGTGGAATAAGCAAGTTACAGCATCGTTTTCTAGCGTGTTCTACTTGCAAGCATTATTAAAAAATAAATCGAAATGTTCAGCTCACCACAACCAATGGGTCAATAGTTATTTTTCTCCCCTTTTATAGTGTAACACGGACATCATTTTTATTTTTGAGTTAGCAATTAGTTTTTAGAATCATTGGTTAAAAAATAGAAAGGTAATCACAAGGAGACTCAGATCTTTGAAGCACAACAACGCCGCTTCCCGTCTGAGGGCCTTTTGTTTTTTATCCCAGTGCCAAAGTATGGTCTTCGTCGCCCTAAATTTAACACACTGAGAAAAGAATGCAATGAGTTTGTTGTAGTGAGAAAATTTTACGCAGAAGAAATTGCTTCCAAAACCATGTGTTGTTCCGTGTCAAGAAATGCTTAATTATGTGCTTCGAACGTTTTAAACCTGTGCTTTTTTGAGGTTGAGTGCCAGCTTTTCGGAAAATAAAGTGGGCCAATTCTACCTATGATCTGTCAATAAAATAAAGATTAGTCAAAACAACAGGAACCATTTTGGTTTTTCAAAGAGATAAATTGTGACAACACTACCACGAACTCTTTTTTACGATGACTTTTCTTTGTTTTAGGATCTTATTCGACTGTTTGCAGGATACAACGATGGCATTATTAATCTTCTAGGTTAAATTTCTATTAATTTTATATCAAATTTGCTCTAATGTAATTAAGTATATATTGCTGAGACCCGTCACTGCTGTTGAAGTTATTTTCTTTTATATTTAGATGTTAATTTTATCTTTTTCATTTCTTTCCTTTCCCAGTCTTTTTGTTATCTATTTTCGTTTGTTTTTTGTTCCAAACCTTTATAACATTATTTCAACACTTGTAGGCAAATTCGAAGCATTCATGCGAAAATTTTGGACCACTTAATGCTTAAACATTGAGAATTCAACCTTGATGTTATGTACCTTAGTTTAGCGACTATATCTGGCCGAGATCAAAGATCTTTATCAAGTTTTTAATTTTTAGCTCTAATTTTAAAAGAAATGTCTACCATTTTGTATAGTGCTTTGTATCAACTATCGTAATTTTATAAAATGGTAATGCATTTGTTAAATTAGGTTGTCGTGTCCAAGTAACGTTTGGTTTTTTTGTTTAAAATCTTAAGGTTCATGAAATTGTGTCATTACTTTTCAGAACAATACTTTGACATGAAAAAGCCAGACTGCAAAGCATCTTTAGATATCTACAAAAAGTTTGTTAATAGAATGGAAAGAGTGTCTGCATTTCTAAGAGTGGCAGAAGATGTTGGTATTGATCGAGGGGACATTCCGGATCTGACGCAAGCACCAAGCAGTTTGTTAGCGGCATTGGAGAATCACTACCTGTCTTTAGAAAAGGGGAAGACATACACCCCGCCATCAAAGTAAGTCAAAACGTAGTTTGTGCTTTGTTTGAATTTGAGAAAGGGTATTTTGCCTTTTGATCTCATTTGCACAACAACCTAGATATAGATGGAAAAGTATCTCCTCTGTAGCAGCTGTATTATCACGTGTCGTCATTGCTTCGTCACGATTTTTTAAACAAACAGCCGAATGAAGTTTGATAAGATGCATTATTAGCAGTCCATATATATGCAAGTTTTGTATGGGGTAGTTCCGCTTTACAGGAATACGCTTTACGTAAAAGATCGTGATTACAGTCATTATGACGACACTGTCTGATGTTCAGTGTGATACTGCACTTAGGACATACAAGAAAGTAATCCATAGGTGATTGGTTATTAGTGATGTTTTCACACGATGCGTTACCACAAGAAAGTGCAAGCCATGGTCTTATGATCGTCGTAATGAAAATTACTGCTTGCGGGTCTGTCATAATGTTCTTGATGGACGGTTGGTCGGTTCAAAGTTGCAACTCTGCGTTTCACACTTAATGCAATCATTAGGCAACTGTTTGTCTTAACTAAAAAAATGGTTTTAACACCTCTAACTCTGGACACTATGCCAAAAGCCAATGCATGAGCATCTCACTATAGATTGGGGAAATGAGTAACTGCTTTTTATCCTGGAATGTTGATTCTAGATCAAGCCTGTTCGAAAATCTTGTGATGGTTGTTTTCTAGATTCGATTGACTATAATGTAACAGTTTGAAACGATTTAAGAGCGAGATGAGAAAAGAATATTTTTTACAAATTTAGTTAAATAATTCCTATGAGGATGATCTACTGAAAAAAAGTTTACTTCATTTTCTGGGAAGAAAATTTCGCGTCTTTTGGGTTTTTGACAGGTTTTAGTTATGCTACGCTTACAATATCATCTACCAATAATTTTTTAACCGGCAAACTTGTACCTGAATGCTTGAGTACAGAGTGGAGTTTAACCTATTGAAAGTTTCTAGTCACCCTCATAGCTGTAATTCAAGCATTCATTTGAATGCCGTTAATGTTTCGATCTCATCTGTCTTACAGGCCGGTTACATTGCCGTCTTTCACAGTATCAGCAAATGCAGAAAAGAGCGTGAATCCTTTTGGAAAGGACACTTTTGATGCTGCAGATGGTGAGACTGATGATGTTCTAGAGCAAGAAAGAAAAGCTTTGGAGGAGTTCCAGGTGATTGATCAATTTTGATTAGCTTTCATGCCTGCCAGATCCTTGAAAGCGCCCAATAAAAGCGTTTCCTTGTTTTATATCTCGTTTCTTTACCCGAATAATGTCACGTTCGCTCCCTTTTTACCCCACAGTAATGTTGATTTATTGATATATTGATATATATAGATATATACATATATAGAAAAATTTCAGTTATTTGCTCAGATTTTTTTTTTTTGGTTAAGTAGGGGTTGACTTTGGTTTTGGTTGATATTTAATTGATCAGATCAAATAACCCTTATGTAGTCAAGTTGCTTGGCTATGTTTTGATTTTGATGAAATTATGACGTGGGGGAGGGGGTGGGGTGGGGTGGTGGGGAGTGGGGTGATATTGCAACTTGAAATAGTTCTCGAAGATCTTACATTTAGTCAAAGGAAGTAGCACATGTACGTCCGCTTTAAATAAGAAACTCAAAATACTTTTTTAACATGCCCCACCTCTCTGAAAGTTCGATTTTCAACACCAAAACTGCTTGCAGAAAATAAAAAAATATCTCGATTTTTATTCGATGTCTGTATAATCTAATATGCATGTCATAGGGATTCTGCTTATTGTTCTGTTTTCATCCCAAAGCGGAAAAAGCAGTCCCAACATGTACAACAAGCTCAATTCTCGAACCAGGCAGCCCCTCCTGCTATTGTCCCGCCAGCAAGCCAACCGCGGAACCATCGTCAGGCCCAGCCAGCAGCCCCGGTTCAAAAAGAACTTCTGCTGAATCAAGCAGCCCAAGTATCGTCCCCACCAGCGTCAGCAGCGAATGACTTGTTGCAATTGAATACTAATTTATTTGGAGATAGTTTTCAGACAGGTATGACCCGAAGCTCAACATTTCCTCTTGATGATCAAAAACAGGGCGATTCATGGTCATCGCCAAATGATTCCTGGGGACAACAACCTGGTTAGTTTTGTTTTTTTTGTACCGATTTTGGAACTTTTAGTCCCAAGAAATGTTGCAACTATTGCAAACAAACCAACCCTCTGCTGTCAGTGCAGTTTCTTTCTTCCAAATTTATTTTTGGTTCACGATTATCATTATTTGACGAAATGAACTTCAGTTCCATAAATGCAAGATGACTGGCAGTTACACGGGGGGGGGGGGGGGGGGGGGGTGGGCTTCTAGCAGACCAAAATTTGTAAGGTAGTTCCCCATAACGGCATCTTACTTGTCAAATGTACTATTTCCCATTTTTCAACAGCTATTTCAAAACTTTCTTCCAACGAATAATGACTAGGACAATTTTCTTCAAAGAAAGATAGATGTGATTGAGTACGCTCATTTTTTTATAAGAAACAAAGGTCGATTTTGAGTACTCCAGTTTCTTAATGTTCTGGAAATTTCAATACTCACTGTTTCTTAAGAGTTTCTTAATTATGATGTCATGAATGATGTTATGAAATGTTCGTGACCTTTTTTATCACGTCAAGAGATTCGCTTCCGTTCCGATGATGTATTTAGATGAGGGAAGTATATTTTTATCCTTTGTGCCTTAAGTTCTAGGCCAACAGGGCAATCTTGTTCTCAGTTTTATCACGATTTAATAGTTTCTTAATTTTTTTGCTTCGAGTACTGAAGTTTCTTAATTTATTCTGACTGTCCAGTACTCGTTTCTTATAGCCAGTTTCTTATATAAAGAAAATGAGTTTATAGTAGCAGTTGCTAAGGAGCTCAGCAATCTCATGATTTGAAAATACAACATAAACCATATTCAAATTGAGTTTCGATGACTGGCAACGAGTTGTCAATCACAACTTGAATGTTGTTGTTATCGTCGCTGTTGTTGTTGTTGTTGCTGTTTTTGTTGTGGTTCACTAATAAGGAAAATTTGATTCTATTCACCTCAGTGTGGTTCACTTTTTTAAGCGATGGAAAGCTCGTGAACACTAATATGCAGCGATTGATAAAAGCTTATTTACTTTTTTATAAGAGTGAAATTTGCTTGTAAATTGATTGTAATTTATAAGTCACCCTCGTTTAAAAGACGAGCATTCGGAGCCATAAAAATTTAGAATCAAATGCAAGCCACGCTCAAATTTAACATGAAGCGATTTATTTTAAAGAGATTTAATTTTGTTTCTTTGGAGGACTGGGTTTAATCCTTTATGAGATAATTTTCTTTCTCGACTCCTAACTTATCTTGTCAAAGTTCACCCTTAAACTATTCTGTTGTTCTCTATGACGTGGGTTTTCGCGTCTTTCTTACTAAAACAGATAATATCTGCAGAATCCTTGCTTGGAATACTTTCTAAGAAACTCAAACTCGATATGACATCACATGCGGCATTTTACAGATAAATTAATACGAGCCAACATCGTGTACAGGTCGCCATTGGGTATATGGGATGTTGGGGAAAAGTAATAATTGTTAATGGCTTTATAAAAGCAAACGTTTTTAGAGATGCTAAAGCTTTTCGACTGACACCCTCCAGAGTATAAATTGTCAGATTGTTCATCGAAAACTCGAAGTTCGTGGGACAGATTTTATTGCCATTTTCTTTTCTTGGTGGTTTTACCGCACAAAGTCATTCGTTTTATTACTATATATTCACGTACGATAGCTTCACCCTTAGGTACAATCGTACGCCTGTACGCCTGATTTTTTTCAAATCTATTTATATTTGAATAAACAAAACTTTCGAAGAACAACTGTAGGCACATCCCTGATCTTACAGCATGTTTAGGCGTATTTATTATGTTTGTCGGTTCCAGGGGGTGCCTGGCAAATCCAGGTCCGGGATCACGGTTGCTAATGTCTATAAACGAAAAATTAGCATTTTCTACGCAGTGTAACAAGTGTTACCGGGAGCGTTAACCTTTGTTTTATATGGCACTCTCTTAATCACAAGAACGGGAACGCGCCAAGATTAAACTGGAGAGTTGCATTAAGGGGCGTTGTTTGGATACATTACGGGAGTTCCATACCGAGGGAAATGTTTCGTCTGTTTTAGAGCGCCAAAACATGAATCCCTGTAACATTTCCCAGACCTTATATTTCAGCCATACTAAACTTCGTGTGGCCATTTTACCCTTAAAATAATCTAAAGAAACATAAAAGTTGTTTATTGGATCAGTAACTGCTCAACAGTAGAAGGGACTTCCCAAGAATTTTTCGCTACTGGGTTGTTCTTCTGTAGGGTCTTGGTACAGCCTACATTTGGATTTTAAATGTTTCAATTTCAAAATATAAATTTTAACTTTTTTAAAGATTGAATAGCAAGGTCATTCAAAACTCAGCAGTAATGAAAGTAACTTTTTCTATGCTTCTGAATTTTTTCAGATTTTATTGGGAATATCTTTCATAAGGCAGTTGAAAGGCTAACTGAAATGCTAAATGTTTAAATCAACTTCTCCAAATAAGTGTGGGTTCGTTTCTAGCCCATTAGCAAAAAGACAAATTTTCCTAGTATATATTTTGTTGTACCAAAAATTGTGGCAAAATGATTATCATTTCTTTAAATTGAAACTTAAATTTGCTTGACAGAATCGCGTCTTGCATGTGTAAATACTGTATAGCATAGCCCAACACCATCTCTTGGATATTCCCGCACAAGCCAGTTAACAAAATTCCAAATTAAATCGTATTTGTACTATCACATTATATGTTTTTGTGTTCGTTTCCAAGTGGTTATAACCGAAAAACCCCATGAATATTAGCCTTTCATCCAGTTAATTATTCCTTCCAAATAGTCTGGCAGCTAGGCAACTGAATCACATGTTGGTCAAAATTTTTGATGGCTTGGCAACAGTATGAGTCAGACGACTAAATGTGATGATATTTGCTGTCGGTACATATGGTTATTGAAGCTAAATTACACACCTCTTGTATAAGGAATTTTTTTAGTTATTATCATTTGGTATTTTTTAATCTATATTATATAAAAGTCATGTTATAAGCAGAAAAAGATGTGATTTTCATACTTTTTTATTTCTACTTATTTTTATGTTGCTGATTGGTTGAATATAAAAAGCCAATTATAAACCAATTATATTTTACCAATCAATTATAAATTTGCGATGATGAAGCCCCGTATGCCGGGGCGAAATATTAACCTTTACTGATTTACGTGTTTTTATTGTTGTTTATTCTAGGTGTATTGCGGTGTTCCATATTTGCTACAATTATGAATTGATTGGTTGAATATAAAAAACTATGCGCCCTTCTTAATCACACATTGCTTTCAATCTACACCTCGATGTGAATTTCTGTTCACCTTTTGATCATTTTTCACCATTTTATATGCTGAAAAATTCGTACAGAAAGTATCACTTACTTTTTATTTGTTTACTCCCTGAACTTTCGTGTTGTGCTGTTTTGAAATTCCCTGAACATTTTACAGTGTTTTAACGTCATTTGTTTTGTCAATTTTTTGTTTTTATGTATGCCCAATGTTTTACAGGAGCAACTGGAAGCAATCCATTCAACACAACCAATAACAACACTGCATTTGCACCTGCTTTTCAAGCAACCTCTGGGCAAAATGGAGATACCCTTCTTGGAGACTTGCTTACCCCAGAGCCAGCAGCTGGGGCCCAACCAATGTCGCAACAAACTCAGCCATTAAATGATAGCGACACAAAGGATTTGTCATCAGTCCTTGCCCGTGCAGCAAAGTCATTAGGTATGGCAATGGCCTTATGCCCATGCATGTTTGCACTTCCAAGCATTCAGCAAGTAAAAAGCACTAATTAAAAACTCCATTATCCATCTGTTTTGGTCTTGACTTAAAAAAAACGCCCTGTGAAGGAATGTCGAAGCTAGGGTATCCATCTGCTTGAAAGCTAATGAAAAGGGGGTCTCAATGACACCAACTGAAAATAAAATGCTTTGGGCTGAAAGCTAGTTATTCCAAACAAGTTTACTTGCAGCACATGATCATCAGGGGTAAGGGATCCAAGAATCAAGGAACACAAATCCTTTTTTCGAAAAGCATACTTTATTTTAGTGGTTCCCTCTTAAGACTTGAGAGCTTGTAGAGAAGTCCCACTTCTTCTATGAATTAGTTTCCCTCCCTAACTTTGTCCTGCCTAGTTTTGCAAGACTTCAACTTCCTGGGTTAGGGGGTTTTGTCCCAGTTCCCCTTAGAAAAAATACAGAGTAGCCAGAGGAAGGTCATTTATAACTAGCACTTGGCAGCAGCTGTTGAGCTTGATATGAGGCTTCCTTTATTTTTAATCTAGACAGACCTTACAATTAAGAAGTGCACCACATATCATATAACTTTATAGCAACAAATAACTGAGTTTGGGGGATTGGTGCTTCTGCACAAAGGGGCCTTATGTGTTACTGACCATGATAGTTAAAAGTTCTTTCAGCAATGAGTTATGATTTAACAATATAAAATAGGATTATTAGAGTACCACTACTCTTTATACCTACCTGGCCTGTGTTGCACATTTTTGTAATTATTATTCCATCTAGCAGTACAACCTTTTTTCAACAATAGCAATAGTAGAGCTTTACTAAGTCATTATACATGCTATTCAGCGTGCCCAGTTAAATATATTGTTTAACATATTCCAACAGGCAGAGAACCCAATAAACCTTATTTTGGATATTTTTTTGTGGCTATCCCAGTTCAAATTGTTTATATTCCTGTATGACTGTTCATTTGAACTCTCTAAATGGACTTGCTTAAAGATTATCATCAAGCCAGCTAAACTTATCCTGACACCATTTGTTCACCTCCATGCATGGGGAGATGGCCACAGGCTATGAAAGACCTGGTATTTTGAAAATGTTTATGCAAATTGTATTTTGTTATGGTTGCTTGGTTTTGATTTTATGGTGGCTGCTTCTTTTAATTTTAGACGATCTGTCATTCAACCCAAATATGCAAAGAGTTTCGACACAAAAAGGAAAACATCAGTGGAAACCACAACAGCCACAAGTGAAAACTGGGGGTGCCCACTATCAAGGAGTTTCAGTTGCAAAAAACACCTTACCTCCTGCTTCACAGCCAGGCTGGGGGCAAACAAATCCATCAGTGGGTATGCAGTCATTTCCGGGGCAGGTAAGCACAAAATGTTTTGCATTGGATAAATAAGTTTCTGTTCCTTGTTCTGAAGTCGTTTTCAATATGAAAGTCGTTAATTTATGTATAGAGCTAAAACATGTTAACATAATCTATGATTACCATGCTAATTGATATTTTTTAAGGATTTTTCCATGAATGAATAAGTTGTTTTTAGATGTTTAAGTTTGAAAAGGGGCACTTTAAGAGTGTTTATAGAATCAACAATGAACACAAGTCTTACATTCAGTTAAATCTTTGTAATTTGAACTTTACAGGGAATTGTAAGAATGATAATGATTACAAAAGGTTTGATTTACATAGATCAAATCATAAATTTTCATTTTCAAAGGACCTGAAAATTTTGTTACAATTAGTAAAAGTTTAAACTACATAGGTTTGAATTAGACAGAGTTGACTGTAGGTATCTACATATTATTATTCTTAATTTCTCTGTTTAGGTTGGTAACTTTTATATGAAAACATAGTTGCATCTTATAGGATATCTTATTAACTGATATAAAGCAAGCATTTGAAATAAATTGTAAAATTAATGTTAAAGCTGAAGAAATAAATGTCAAACAAGGTCAAAGGAAATGTAGCTTTATCAACAACCTGACCTGGCTGTTTGGCAGAACTCCAACCTTTTAAAGGGTACTTCAGTTCTCTCTTGCAGGCAAAAATGCTTTAATAGAAGTATTTGTTTTGTATGAATTCCCCTGAAGAAACGAAATGGTCTGATCCAAAAAAGATTATGTTACAGCACTGATACAGCAAGTCTCTACTACACCTAGCTCATATAATCTTACAGAAAGGAATCTTCATGCAATGACAAAGGTCTTTGATGTCATGGCAGTGTTTTTTATCATTTTACGAAATATAATTTCATTCATGCAACTCTATCAAATATTGGCAGGGAAAAGGAGACCAAAGTTTTAGGGATTGAGTGTCTTCTACCAGGAAAGTTCAATGGGACCATCTTATTCAAACATAGACACTCTGTGCAACTGTGTAACTGTACAACTGTGCCACTCTGATGATAAAATTTCATGCACCTGAATTTCGAAGGATTACAAAAAGACTATTCTAGATGACCATGAGACCACTTCTTTGCCCTCATGTCTCAATTTCTGTTAATATTGTAGCATTGTATTAAAATCTGAAATCACCAAAATTCATGTAGGTTTGCATGGATGTTTCAGAACCATTAGAAAAATGTCATTACAAAGTATTTCACTACCGAGCTTCATATTCATCCACATTCTTATTGCCCAGAAATGACGGTTGTTCAGTGGCGTGTTTCATTTAAGTAACATTGGTTAAGAATTTTTTGGCTGCATCCTTCTTGATATTTATGATATACATTCAAGCATTCCTTAGGTTTTTGTACTGATTCTTTAGTTATGGCTTTTGTCATTATAGGCTCCAATGGGAATGTATACCCAGTATGGTCAGCAACCCGGTATGATGCCCAGTGGAGTAGGGATGTTTCCTATGCAGACTGCAGTACCACACATGAATGCTCCAATTGCCAGTCAAGATCCGTTTGGGCCAGTTCCAGGTAGCCAGGTAAGGTGGATTGCATAATATACTTTATGTTCCTTTTGTTTTATACATGAAATCAATTGTTTATTGGTAAAAGATGTGTAGAAAATATCTTCAATAATCATATGTATCCACAACCCACATTATGTAGAAAAGAAGTAACTTTGCTGTAAAGCTAATAAATTTCTCTTTTTTTCACTTATAATATGAACCAGCCTTGGGAATATCTGTATGGAACCAACAGGTTGTCATTTTCTAACATGTGTACTTTTAATGTGTAGGGAGTGGATAGATGAATCAATTAAATACCATTGATAGAATATTCTCTAGATTGGATACTCTTGACTGCTGAATAGACAAGGCATCTTATTAAACAGGGTGCTGGAACCTTTCTTACAAATTAATGAACAGGGGGTGGTTCAAACAGGTGATTGATATCTGGGAATTTTGGCAATGCATAAAAATAATGGGGCTCACCCCAAATCTGGTCTCTGATTGCTTATTGGCAGTTTCTGTGAGTTATGATGGTGTTTTAAAGACACAAACACCAAGACAGGAGCAGACACTTAGTTGAATATTGGGAGGCATGCCTATGTTTTAAGAAGATGATGTCACATTTTCTTGTCGTTTTGGAATAAAAGACCATTGCCCTCCAAAATATTGGAAGCAACTGCCCCCTTGCCCCCTCCAAAGGTGTCTGCCACTGCAACAAGGCTATGACAGGGATCTTGCTCAGATTAATGAAATTGGTAAATTGATAAACTTAGTTCTAATAAGCTCTGGGGTTGGAAAAATTTTACGAAGTTATAAGCATCTGAAGAATTGTCGCCAAAGAATATGGCAAGGTATCAATTTTCATTTGTTACCTATTTGTATCATTTCAGAAGAATTTATTCTCATAAATGATATTGTTATTTGATTAGAGTCACAATTCTGCATAAATTTATACAAAGCTGTTTCAAATAGTTTCAAGAACATGGTAACTTGGGTTCCCAGGTCGTTTTGCCTTCATATAAGAAATTTTTGTAAAGTAGTCCTCAGCAATATATCTTTTCCTCTTAGGTTCGCTTCTAATTTTGATGATATCCCAATTGCACTGTTTGGAATTTCTGACAAGGTACAATAAAATCAGAAATATTTGTGATTAAAATATTTGTATGCAACCTCTTTTGGAAATCTCGTTGGCTACTCAGTATTTGGCAAAATTTGAACATTGATAATGTGGATCATCAGAAATACTGGGACAATATTAATTTTTTCATGAGTTAATGACTGATGGGATAAAATGTATCACAATTTTTGTAATATAGCTAATTTAGTGACATTAATTTTTCAATCATTGAGTTAAAATCTTGGAGTAGAACTGTAAAAAGATGGCTAAAATAGACAACAATTCTTTGATTTTTGGTTTATTTTATTTTCCCCTGGTCTCTCAGTTTTCTTAAATTTTCTATGAAGGTCTTAAATATGCCATAGAAATAGCAATTCTGATTTATCTAGCTTGCCCATAACCACAATAAGAAAATATGTTCTGCCAGCCGAATAAAAGCAACTGGCTTTTTATTGTGCATACATTAAGCAAAAAAACTAGCTGGAGAACAGTTTCTTGCCTTTATTTATTGTCTGTTTCCCTTGCATGCTGAAGCCTGGGAAATAATTGCTAACTAGCCTGCGTGCAGACTGTAAGTATCTTACCATATCTCTAAGTATCTACAGTTCTGGTAAGATACTTAGAGTCTGCGCGCAGGCTATTGCTAACATGTCATTTCATGTAGGTGGTCAGGATCCTGAAAATTGTAAACAAGAAACGAACTGGGTGCCATGAATCATTTATAAAGTACTCTTATCTTCGAAAAGTATTGCACTGATTCAACAAATAAGTAATAGCGAAGGTGTTGTAAACAACATCATTATTAAAATTTGAATCACTTTCCCTAGACTTTTCATTAAGAATAAGAAATGTTAACTTTTTATTGGACAGTCTCAAGCTCTGAAACCTTGTTGAGATTTGCTAAATTTAATCAAAAACTTTTCAAACAGGTTCTGTCAAATGTGAAAAGAAAGAGTAAGATAGATATTAACAAGTTAACATTTAGGTGTTTAATACCCAGGGATAATAATTATTGGTTTTTTATTTGATGGAAAGTGACAAATTTTCAGCTGTTTGTTGAGGGTACAGGAATCAGGAATTGGGACACTATTATAAGGGATTTAGGAATCGATAGCACTGGGATTCAGGAATTGATCCTCAGGAATTGGGAATCAGGCTAAAAACGTTATGACAACCAGGGCACCCTCTTTGGTATGACAACTGTGTAACTGTCTTTGAGTCATTTGCGTTTTTAAGGGGAAATTTTGGTCTTTTACAAGGAGACGATAAAACTTTGTTCTGGGCAATGGACAGTATAATTTGGAGCTTGTACAGAATTGCAATGGATTGGAAAATACCAACTTGATGATTTTTGACACATTTTATTGATTGAAATTGTTGCAACATAATCACTGAGCGACCTTCGCCATTAGGCCATTGCAGCATGAAAGATTTTGGACCACAACTTTTAGCCTATTCGAATACTATGCAAGCTCAATGCTTGCATAAAATTAAAAGCTGCCAGACCATGCCAGTGGCGTACCCAGGGCTGCGGAAGTCGGGGGGGGGTCTGGGGCGGAGCCCCCAGAATTTTTTTGGAGCACGCCCTTCAGACACTCGCAAATGCGGGGAAACGCCCTTTTTGCAAAATTATTTGATTAATGTTAGCTACGGTAAATAGCAAAGTATTTTACAATTGTTATTGACACAAGCATACAGTATACTACACCCCCCCAACGAGTTTTACATCATTTTTGGACAAATCTCGAGGATCATATTTTAGAAAAGTAGGGGGGTCTGGACCCCCCTATTCCCCCCTTGGGTACGCCACTGGACCATGCTACTTCTTTTCGTTATTTTTCTGCACTGTTTTAAAGAAACTTTAAAAAAACTGTTTTAAACTCAGTTAAACAAAGTAAAGTAAGACACAAATTTCTTGAATGTCTACCAACTGTTTGGTGAATCAAGGTTGCACTGCTGAGCAAAAAACAATATTATAGATTGTATAGATCATATGCAATATCACTTTACCAATCATAATTTGTTGTCTACTTATGGCCAGTAGTGGAGTCAGGGCGGAAAATGCAAGAAACCCCCCTTTTGCAAAAAGATTTTGCCATTCATGCCCCCTTTAGCTTCCATCTCCCTATGCTACTGTTTGCCCTGTCACCAGACATTGTTCCAGGTTTTCAGCCACATGTGTTAAAAATTAGCTTTTAAAGCCAATGGGATAAGGCAGGGGCGGCTGGGAAAGATTTTAAACTGCTATTAGAGAAAATCGTGGTATCAGGGCGTGGCTGCCGCTGTTTTTTTACTTCCAACCACACCCTCTTCAATGGTTGTTTTCAATATTGCACTGTTTTTTTCTATGCTCATCATTACATCTTGATTTCTTGGCCGCAAGTCGAAAACATCCTGCCATTTTCTATTGTAATGCTCTCTTTCTCATAGTCATAAAGAGAAAAGCAAAAAAACAAGGGGGGTTATTTGACCACGGTCGGAGGTTATTTGATCTCTAGAGCAACATGGCCCATTGTCAGACTTATCAGACTTATAATTTTGAATTTGATACTAATCCCAAAAAGATTTTAAAGTTGGTGCACGTTTCTTAGTTCTAAATAAAATTCAGAGACATTCTTTCAAATTTCTACTAAAACAACCTTCATTGGAATACATCTACAGTTCCGATATCATGTCTACACATTCAGTCTTTCAATTACGACTGTAGGCTTTGGCTTTGACGGCCTGCGGCACGCAGATGAATATCGTCAGCTTACAATGAAAAGGCTCTCTGTCCGTAGCCGTAGCCTCTTTTTTGTTGCTATTAACGGCCCTCTTTTAATAGCAAAATCATATCGGCAAGTATCGTACATTGAAATCAGGGGCGGATCAAGACATTCTCAACATTCTCAATAGAGGATGTCAGATTTTCCCAGTTTGATTATTCTAATTAAAATGCTAAAAGTAATGAATGAGCTCAGGTTAAAGATTCAAGATAAGCATACATCTTTTTATTATGTATTTAAGGTTTTTATTTCTATACCATCGCCGTATTTGCTATATTTTACTCCGTTTTGCCTTTGCGAAACATTTTTAGATCTTCTCCGATGAAAAACCAAATTCTCCTTCATTGAACCTAGTACCCAGGTGGGTAGTAAGAGGCTGCGCCGCGTCCTGTATCTAGGCATGATTTTAAGAATGTTTATCGACTGTTGCCATGCATTTTGAGAAGTTCCTTCGCATTTTTAGAAAGTTGCACGCAGTTTCTGCATGCGCACGCAGAGAATTTCAATAGATTTTTGTCCCTTAGAAGAGGTCGACCTGAAAGATTTTAACGAGAGGAAAATTCGCCAAAATAGTATAAAACCCATTCACTTTTAATAGGGTATATCTGGCATATGTTTAACATATATTTTATGAGGTCGTGCCTACGTCACAGTTTGAGAATCTTGAGAAGTTAGTGGGCTGGTCCACAAAAGTAGCGAAATTTGAGAGGGAACACCAACTTCACGTGATCAAGAATCCACACTTCACTCCAGACCACAGTGGCAGTGGCAGGCAGTGGCAGTGCTTGGTAATGATATGTGTATGTGCTTGATTAGAGAATAATTTCACAAGAACCCATTGCAAGTATGGATATATTGGAAGAATTGAAACAGTTATTGACCGATTGTGCTTTGGATACCATCAAGGAGTATTTTTTTCGCTGACTAGAGAATGGTTACTTACAAGTCTGACGGGAGGGCCTAGGCGCCAGAACCAGATCGTAACACACAACCTTCGACATTTATTGTGGCAAAAGAATTGTTTCATTTTGCTGACTAAACCTTGCTGAAAGAGAGAGGGTCAGACTTTAAGGTACTGCTGATAAATTTTATATAGGGGTTCTTTTTGTGCTGCTGCTACTGGGCCTAGCGGCTCAGGTGGTAAATTCTGCAAAAAGTTTGTTTTGTTTGCAGACTGGCCCCTCTGGGTGCTGCTAAGATACTTAATTTATCACCGATACCAGACCATTTTCTTTCTGTTTTTGTGCAATGTGATTTAAATGTAGAATTCACAAAAATTACACTGTTCTGAATTTAGCTATAACTAGAATATTCATTCAATGATTCAGTGGCTGCCTATCTTTGTGATATAATGTTTATGGATACACTTTAGTTTGTTTGAATAGCTATTTAATTTGTTTTAGATAACATGTTATTTATTTGCAAGTTGAATTTCACTTTTGCTGTAATTTAACCTAAAGAACTAACTGTAAAAAAGATTTTAACAGTTAGAGAAATCATTACTTTCTTACAATCTTGTTACTGATATTGTTACCAAGCAGAATAGGATTTGTTGTGACAGCATTTGGTGAAAAGTTTTGTGCTATGGTGGTCTCTTGTGTTCTATTTTGAAACACATTTGACATGTTGCATCTCTGGACATTTTATGTGGTTAATCATATGAGCTGCATGGGCCTATTTTGTTTTGTTTTGCTCTTTTGTTTTGGAGATGCATCCCTTTTTTGTTTTATTGATACTAAGCCAATAACGAACAAGCTTTATTGAGAATGCAACACCAGAAGTCAAAATCTTGAGATATATTTATTTGAACAAGGTGGTACTAGGAACTGAAAATGCTGTCTGATAAAATATGTTTTACATTAAGTTAGTACACACAGTAAAGGCAAATAGAATCTGTTTTTAATGCATGTTAAAATGCAGCAATTGGTTAAAATGCAGCCAAAAATTCTATTCATTTTCTTTGGCAAAAGAAAGTGCCTCTGAAAGCTAAGCAAAGGGAAGTTTAGTATAAAGTGTCAGACCTCAGAAGATTCAAATTTAAATTTGATGGATCTACTAAATAGACAGTCATCCCAAAGTAATTCTTCTTCCATGTATTACCAAATGATGAACAACAAATCTAAAACAGATATACAGACTTTGACTTTGATGCAGAAATATTTTACTCTAAAGCAGTGCAATTATCATACGCCCAAAGATATGATGCATTTAAGAGAGTTAGCATTCAGAAAGAAGTTGACTAGCCTTAGCAGTCTATTTTTGTTACTAGAAAAGGTTTTTACCAAATTCTGTCTAAGTTTCTATGGCTTGTTTGCTCTGAAAATTGCATGCATTTTTAGTAATTTCATTGGTCAACTTTCGTTAATAATTCTCTTCTATGATGAGTCTTGTGCCCTTGAATTGTTATCAATAATTTGGATGTCCACCAAAGTACACTTCTTTCTATAAAATTCCACATCTTAAACCATTAGAAAACCAAGCACAATTTGCCACACACATTATTGAGAAATTATTTAATGTTGCATCATTGTTGGTCACATTTCAATGTTGGGGTAGGGCTGCCTCTCCCTTCATCCTCTCTGGGTGTCTGCCACTTTTTATTGTTTGTTTCTATTTCTCATCTTAAAATTACAATAATTTAAATCATTGCATCCATATAAGACAGAAAACAATTTCTTGGGCGTTTCCGGGAAATGGGCGTGGTCGGTCGGTCGGTCATAATGGGTTTTGAGATTGTCAAATTTTTGTCTGGATCCGCCCGTGATTGAAATACTCCTTAATAAGGACAACTATTTCTGATGAATGCTCATTGTTAACATAAAAAACCAAAGGACCATATTTTTGCAATTCAATTTAAGTGCAGATTTAGATTTTTGATGAAACTAACGTAACAGCCTGAGAATAAACTACATATCGCTTCACCAAAATAATAAGAGAGCGCTATCTTTCAAATATTTAAACGAAGTCGCTGTTGGTGCGTTTATTGTTGTTCTGAAGAAAGGATTGTCTGTCAGTATGTCGTTAAAACACCCAAAGTAAACTAGAAACGGCCATGTGATTTATTTGAAATGCAATATGCCACATGAATGGAAGAGTGAACGGAGGAATCTTGCTATTAGAAGTGACCCGGCTAATAGCAAGTCCGCATATATTAGGTCTTTCACAACAGCATGATTGGCCACTCTACGTCACACAAGGAGACACAAACAAAGGTGGATTTGAAAGTTGCTATTAGGATTCACAAACCTAATAGCACAATTTTAGGGCTGTGGCTGTAGTATTTGTTTGAGGCCGTCCGATGAATGCCTCACAATAAGTGTCGCGACAAGCGTAGGAGGGAGGTCTTTTTTTTGTTGAAAGGATCAAATCAGTTTCAACACAGAATAGAGATTCTCTATTCTGTGGTTTCAAGAGTAGCGGCTTCTGCTCGCTTTACGATGTCACGCCATATCATTGCGAAATGGTAGGAAAGCAGTTAGCTATTCAAATAAACTGTTTTTGCCAAGGATTTCCAGTGCTGGTTTCATTTTAAAGATATATGACCAATAGATTATGAGAGCCTTTGCTGAAAAAAATTGTTATTGGACTAATAACGCTAATACCGCTCCCAGCCGCCCCTGGGATAAGGCTAAAACAAGCTCAGCTGAGAAATTTCATCTTTAAAATGTGTCTTCTGTCAGAGATCCCATTCAATACAAAAGGTTTTCCCAGAATTTCTCTGATGTCACTATTGTATCAGATTTTTTAAATTTTTTGACAATGTATACCAGCTTAAACAGAGGGGGTGTTGGATACAATGGGGGATGTAGCCATAAAAAACCATGGCACAATTCCTTCAGCCTTCATGTTTCATCCAAACGTTTAGCTGGTATCTGTGCTCATTTTAGACAGAAGTTTTTGAGGAATGGACCTGTTGCCACATGTTGTTGCAATGTTTCAATGCATATGAAACAATACCAGAGCAATAGCATTAATAAAAGATCTGAATATGATGCGATTTTTTATGAAGTTCACAATCTTCTATTCAAAAACAACAACCAACTGATTTTTCACAAACATGCATACAGTACAAAATAATACGAGATTGAAATAACTCAGATCAGCAGCTTGTAAAAAAAATTATCAATGTAAGTGTATCCCTAAACTTAGTTTATCATATTGGCAAATATTTAGTGTTGGCTGTATGTAAAAACTGTTTGCAAAGCTGCTCTTGGCTACTTGCAATAGCCTGTTTTAAATATTTTAAAACAAGCATCTGTATCTTTACTTTTATTTGATAAAAAAGCTAATAAGAGCAGAAACAAAGTTTTTTGTTGAAGGGTGGAAGGCTGTGGTGTGAGGGGGAGAGGTAGGGGTGGGTGGTGCTGTAATTTCTCTATGTAGCTTGTTTTAGTGGCCTTTCATTGTCCATTTTTTTCTAGTAAAATTGTCTGATTTATAACCTGGATCTGCAATCTTTAATCAATTTATAAACAATTTGAATTTATATAAAAGAAGGATAAAGACCAAATTTCACAACATTATATAGATTATATTCTTTTTAATCTGGCTAAATCTATAAAGTTAATCAGCAATTCCAAAATCTGTTGTTGCATATTCTGCAAACATGCTTGTTCTGTTTGTCATCCATGGACCATACTTTGGAAAGGCAGTATTTATTATTTTACCACTGATAGACTTTGAAATATCTGCATCAAAGGCTGGCTCATAGAAAAAAGGAACAGAATAACGGTCAGCTCCAAGATCTATTACTCTATGGTTTGTAGCTCTGAGTTTATAATCTACCATCTTTGAGAGAAGTGCTCCAGTGTTAATGATTAAGCCATCTTTTATTACTGGCACATCGAGCCAAGGGCCATCATCAGTCAACTTGACTTGCAGTCCCTTGTTTTCAAAAGTTGCTAAGATTGTAAGGAATGTTGTATCAAAATGTTCTCCAGTTGTTATTCTAATGTCTCCATCTTTTGCCTCCTCAGGAAGATCTGTGTCATTTATCCTTGTTGGGTAATGAAGTAATCGCAGAGTTGCAAGGGGCTTACCTGGCTTGAACAAGTTATCAAAGTAATTCTTCTCTAGGCCAAGACCTTCTGCCATCATTTTAGAGACCTCGTCTCCAAGAGAGGAGTAGAGATCATACATGCGAGTCATGCAATTTCGAAATTCTTCGTCTGACTCTTTGCTGTCTGACACTGGCCACACATTGGGCTCCTGGACAACGTCTCTCATGAGAGGCCGGTCAGTTCCCGATACCTTTCGAACTTCATGCTTACTATGAAAAAATGCTCCAAATTCTAAAGCTTCTTTGAAGGAGTGACCGCCATCTATGATTGGAAAATAACCTCGGAAAGAGTTTTTATTTCCTGGCTGGAAAGAATTCTTAGCAATTTCCATTTTTGTCTTGTGTGGCAATGAAAAAAACCATTTAGTGTTATACAGCAATTTATCTGGATCGTACCCAGGTATATTGATAATGTAGGCAAATCCAACTTCACTGAGCGCTTTGTTAAGTTTTGCAACTTCCATCTTCCTATCACCATGCTTAGCTTTCGTCATGTCTACCAACTCAAGATTAAGTTCCGATTTATTTGCCAGAACTGGCTGCTCATCGTAACGAACAAGATATATTAGTTTACGTATGGAAGAGTTTGCAAAATCTTCAAGCCATTCCACTTCAGCATATCGCAAAATCAGTATACTCAAGCAAAGCACAACTGTGCTCAAAAGCATAACCTTTGCACTCATCACGATGGCCTTCCTTTCCTTCTGGATCGTTCTGCAAACATTCTGTGCTTTACCATGCTTGACCATTTGAACGGTCTTCGACCTCAAAAACCACAACAGCAACAGCAACCCCAAAATTACTCTTAGGTATGGTCGGAATGTAACAGGACCGATCATATTGTAAACTGGAATCACGTGATATCAATCAAAACTTTTTTTCAGCAACAAATCAATTAATTACAAGATAAAACATGCTAGTTGTTAAGATACAATCATTAATAACAATAAAGATTACATTACAGGGAACAACATAAGATATTTATAAGATCAGCTGATGGACACATGGAAAAAAACTCATGAAGGAGCTATCAGAGCCATGTGCCCAATTTGACGGGAAATGACGATAATTTAATATAAGTTTCGTTTGAATAATAACAGTAAGAATCAAGAAATAACAATTTAAAAGAAAGAAAAACAGAAATCAAATAATAATGGTTTACAATATGCACAAATAGTTCAATTGTGTAAAAATGGGAATATATAGGACTAAAGGTTCTCTAGAAGGTAATTTTTCACGTTTCTTTTGAAAGATTGCTTAGTGGCAGCATTTTTGAAGTCTAGAGGCAGAGAATTCTATAATTTAACACCATCAAATGTAAGGAAGTTTTTTTTAAAATTCGTGGAAATCGATTGAAGAGAAAAACCAAGACTAGAAGATTGTCTAGTATTGTAATGATGAAGATATTTTGTTTTTAGAAATTCCGCTCCTAAAGTAGAGGAACTAGCATCTTTATTTATTTGGAACATGAATTTTCCTGTTTCAAGCTTGAAGAGATTATCGAAATTCAAAAGTTTCAAACGTTTAAAGATTGGGTCACTATGTGCAGTGTACGATGCAAAGTCAGCTACTCTAACTGTTGGGGCCCAGACCTTCCTTGGTATCTTAAGACCCCACACAGTTATTGTTGTTACATTCGGTAGAGTATTACGTGCCGAGATACACGGCGGCATGTAGAGTTTTAATTATAATGTTGATTTTATATTTGATTTAAAGCAGTAGTAAATAACATGTCTTGAATCTCAATACCTAATAAGGACAAACGTATGGAAAATATCAATCGTAAGTCTCAGTCAACGTGAATATGTATGTTGCAACTCGTAATAAGTTAGTTAGTTGGTGGGAGTAGAGTTGAAGTAATGATGGTGATCGGCGAAAATGTGAAACAGAATATTGATGGATTTGATACAAAATAGTTACACAAAATGGTTATTTTTCTCTGAGTCTTCATCTTACACTTCGTTTATCATTAAATATTAAGATAGGGGCATCGCTAGAAATAGTGGTCCCAACACTAACGGCTTTTCGTAACCGCGATTTGTCAATTATAATTAATTGTAGTATATAAATCGAGAGATTGGAAATAAGAGGGGAGGGAATTTTGATTTGAATACAGAGGAAAGTGGTGTTCTCTTTTCAACGCTCTACCGTTACGACCTATCACAGGAATTAAGGGGGGGGGGGTGGGGGTGGTCGGATTTTATGTTCAAAATTAATTGGCGGAGATCCCAATTACCGAGGGGGTCTAAATTATGAAGTTACATATACTGAATGCTCAAAATGCACTTAAGTATTCTCGATTTTCCACTTTGACAAATATAATGAGTTTTATGTCAGTTAAATAAGAACGATTTTGAAGCATTTAGATCAGATCGAGAGCCGGACATGTGGCTATTATACGTACAGAATAATCATTATAACCGAAAATTGTGAGTTTTTCTTTAGTGTCACTGGGAGTTTTGATTAAGGTAACAGGGCCTTCAATACGAAATTCCCCACACACATCCTCCAACTTCAGCTGTGTTATTTGTTTTATTTTCCGGTATAAATCGAAAAAGTTTCGATTTTTTTTCACTACAGTAATTATCACAAAAGTGCCAAAATGAATTAGCGGGGGTCCTAATAATAGCGGGGGGTTGGAAAAATTTTCAAAAATTAATTAGGGGGGGGGGGGGGGGGGTGGTGTGACGGCAATTAGGCAAGTGTACAAATCTTCAGCGCTCGAAGCAATAGAGTTATAAAGTGCAACGTCACCAAGAACCCGTTTTTAGAATTTTGAATTTAAAGGACAAGTGACACACTTTTCACCCTATCTTTTCTTTTCATTAACTTATAGATCATCATTTAGAAGTATGTTTTTTCTGGTTTACAACAAAAAATTCTAATCAGGGGCGCAGGGGGCGCGATTTTGCTTTTTATCACGTGACCCTATGACGTACATTGTGATAACTCGGAATTTTCCTGTCATTAAACGTTAATATTGCACTGTATACCAGTAGCAGCAATAACAGATTATCACAATCTACGTCACGGTGTCACGTGATTCATTTCCCGCCATAATTTGAAAAGGGTTTTAAAGTAGGAAAATGAAATCAGAAAGGAAAAATATTTCAACAACACTCTCATACAGCATTTTACTTTAAGTTAAAAGAAAATAAAATTTGGCGCCAAAAGCGTGTCACTTGTCCTTTAAGGTTAAACCACATAACATGAAAGATCACCATGAAATACTCACAAAAATGCAACATTAATCAAATATGTCTAAAATCGGTTGATATATTGCCAATGAAAGATTTGAAGTTTGTCAACGAATCAAAGTGAAAACGCAGGTTTTGCAGGTTAGTTAAACGCAGGTTAAATTGTGTGGGTCATTGTTAGTGGCCATGGGCACAAGCTTCGGCCTTTTGACGTTGCTGTTATGACTTTGGCGCAACGCAATGAGGTGTGCGATGACAGTTGACACCCACTAATGTGTAAAGCAGCGAGAAATCCATTCAAACATCAAGAATTGTTTTATCCACATATTAATTTGAAATGGCATACCGTAAAAACCAGACCCTGAGACCCTGAGACCTAGGACACTAAAGTGCTAAAATAAGAAAGGACCCTTAACACCACAAGGGTTTTCACCCCGATAAGTCAATAGTTGATCAAGGTTGACTGTCATCATCGCACCATGAGGACACATCAATTGTCAAATGCGCTTTTGCTCCTACTACGGCATTCTTCCGCACACTATTCACATCTCTCTCTGGTCTTAAGGTCTGGTTTTTACGGCATGCCATTTGAAATATCGGCATATCATCGTATCTGTAAGAAGGAAGAACCGTAGGCAGTGGCGAAGCCAAAGGTCGTGCCCGTCGTGCCCGGCACGACCATAAACTTCCAAAAGTAAGGTTTTCACATATTGGCAAAAATTTATTTGGCTCCGCGAAAAGTTTTCAAATATAGACAAAAATTAGTAGTATAATCGACAAATCGATCAAGCTTATCCCGCAGACATAAGTGAATTCTACTCGAATCACCCAGGGCCCCTTGAATTATTTCAGGAGCGGAGTAGAAATCCACAGGGTTTCATATTGGTCGTGCCCAAAATCTGGTACCTTGTGATTTGGTCGTGCCCAACAATAGAAGCTTCAATTGGACAGCCTATGTTTGGTCGTGCCCAACAATAGAGAAAAACAATGCTAGTCGTGCCCTCAGAAATGAGCACGACCTCGTCATAATAATAATAATAGTTGAGGTACGATTTCCAGCATTTGATTGGCTGAAGCTGGAGTAAATCAATCACGAGGTCGTGCCCGTTTCTGAAGGCAAGACTATCTGCACCCTGTATCATTGGGGCCTACTTGTCAATACTGCAGGCGTTTGTGGATGTTGGTGTGATATCAGGGTGATTTGAATGGTGCATGTAAATGTTCCAGTCCAATAAACCGTTGTAATTTATCAGGAAACTGGTTAACGACTGTGGAGGGATTGTTTCATAGTTATTTTGACTCAGCCGATACGGAATCAATCCAATGGATCTCTTTTTGATAGGCGAACAAGTTCTCATTCACCTAAACAGAATCAAGATTATCAAATGGGCAAGATGCTATCTTATCTAGAAAATGGACGATAATTTGAATATCATCTGGATGTTTTTAACGTGATCAGAATGGAAAATATGGCAGTTTTCGCTCGGATTTGTACCAGAGAGACGCACACTGAACGGGATAAACTCAATCAATCAATCAATAAAATAATCAATATTTATTTTGACAACAGTATACTTAGGTGTTCAAGACCAAAGTATTATGAACATTTGGGGCAAAATGTACATAAATATCTATTCATTTTACATTAGTTATGAGGTGTTTGATGTATTTTTGGACTAGAATCTTCCCAGTAGAAAGTTCTGAATTTTGAAAGTATTTGTAGTAGAAAACCTCTTTGCAAATTAGCTCTACTGGAGTTTTACCCTCCTTAAAACACGTGAAAGGGAAAAATGAAATAGCATTGATCAACCTGTTGATGATTTTGTTTATGTTTCTGATGATATGTTTTCAAGCTCAGCCTAGTGATTTTCTGATTTTTTCCCTTGCTTTCCATGTAATTTGGTTGTGTGCAGTTTCCTTGGGTGTGCATATATTTTCCTTAATATACTAGGTAACTTTCTCCATGAATTAGTCAGTTTGTCTTAAATAAGCAGGGTGAAATAATCTTTAAGCTATTACACATACCCCCCTTAATTTTTTGCTCAAGAAACACTGTTGTCTGCAAATAACTCTCAGGCTCATGATTATTCTGTATTAAATTTGTGACCCCAGTCATCTGATCTCAGTATTTCCACCTAGCTGGACACTGAAGAAATTTATTGAACATTCTTCATTTGTGTATGCTGCCCTGTTTATTCATAAATTGTCATGATCTGTTTTTCAATGATTAATTTAATGCTGCTTTTCAATTGGAATTTTATTCAAACCTTATAATGGTTATTTCATCTTATGCAACTTTCAAATATTGTCATACATGGTGTAGTTTATCATTTTCTCATAAGGCATAACCTTAAATTAAGTATCTAATTGATTGGTGAATCTAATTGAGTGGTTTTGTTCAGCTTAACAAAGTGGCTACCTATAAATCTTTATGCAACAAACCTGATGAAAAACAGGTCTCAAGGATTTTAAAGAAATACTGCCTTCATTCTGCCACTCACAATTTAGTGCTTTTTAGCTGTGGCTAGATCAATAATGCCGCATGACAGTACTGTCTTCAGCAGATATTCTGATATTTCTGTTTCATATGTTTCATTTGTCATCTAATTCTTGATACATGTCTTGCACTTCACAGTCAAGTTTGCCTTTAAAGCCAAACTTTTGCCTCTTTTTTGAATGAAATTCTAATTTTTATGTGTGCAAAACAAAAAGTGCTTGCAATTATTATACATTTGAAATCTGAGTCCACAGGTGTATATTTTGGTCCCATTGTTGCAATAATTTGATAAAATTTTAGAAAAAGTTTGTTGTTCAAGCTTTGAACTGATATTTGGGTAAATATTACCAAAAATAAAAAAAAGTTGCCAGGAACCTCCATCACACTTTGGGAAGAAAATGAATTTTGAGTATCAGCCAGGCAGGGGGGACACAAAAGCAGCTTTCATACTTTTAATTTTAGTTTGTTTCTATCTTGTCAGAAAAGTAATGCAGTGCCATGCAATTGCTATATAAGCTCCTTAGATCACTGAAATATTTTTTTTGATAATATTGCGGAGGCGCATTTCTGTTGCGTAGTGGCCAATGGGCACGACCATCCATGGGAGTCCAGCTTCGCCACTGACCGTAGGATAGGCTGTCCGCCGGATTCTGTGAATCTTGCAATAAGTAATACAAAATACGAAAGATATTCAGGAACAAAGCAATACGACGATGAGAATCCAATGTCACGAGATAAAATTTTCAAAATAAATCAAATTTAAGGATTACAGTAAATCCCCGCATATAAGAACCTACAAAAATAAGAACCTAGAGGCTGTTTTTTCTAAATTATGCACCTTGTAATTAAGAACCTGTTTCAGTGTGATAAAATATAATAGGTCCTTATCCCAATGGCAAAAAAAAGTTTTCAATGGTCCTTATTCTCTCCCAGATTTTTAAAGATGAGGTAAATCACAATCGGTATAAAAATTTTCAGTTGTGCATTTTCAGCATTTTATACACTTTAACGGAAGAGAACTTTGAAATCATTTTGACTTTTTAACATAATTATATATAGCAAAATGTTGAAAAATGAAATAAAAGCATTAGAGTTCATAATTTTCATTTCCTGAGGACGTATGAGATCATCTCCAGATCCATCCACGGTCATAAGGCAGCCAGTGCGCTCAAATGTCTTCCTGTAAATATCTTTGTAATGTTGCATTGATAACATTGCCAAAAGGAAAAAAACAAATTTTAAATAAGGGATCCTTCGAATAAGAACCTTCATACCCTGAAATTAATCCAAGTACCTTTCCAATAAGCACCTACTTCAGCCTGAACCTCAAAAAAGTAGGTTCTTAAAGGCATTGAGTCATGGTAAATAGGCTTTCTCTATAGGGGGTCATTTGGTTTCGGCGTGATCGCTGCTGTTTCATGTGATATTGGCATCCGTTGTTGACAACTTGCTATTGATGGAAACTGTTATGTTAATCAGTACGAGGTGAGTTCATGTGACCAGTTCAAGGTCAACCAATAGCATCACAGTCATGGAAATCATGACTCAGCGGATTTTGGCACTTAGGGTCAACCCAGTCTATTTATCATGACTCAATGCCTTTAAATGCGGGGATTTACTGTATACTAATATTTCGCCCCGGCATACAGGGCTTCATCAGAGTAAATGAAACGAATGTATGCTTCCTGAAGTTTTTAAACCCGGTATTCTCACGGCAATTAAGAAAACTTTTTCAAGATTGACAAAGTTTGTCAGACTTCTTGTTCGCATTAGGCAGTTTTCTGAGATGTTGTATTGTTATCTAGCACGTTATCAGGTTGCCATTAAGAAATTGTACCTTTTTGAATTGTGACATGATATCAAATAGCACCCTGGGCTTTTTTATTGGTGTTAACATAATTCTGACATGTCCGTCGAGTCACCCGCTGGTTATCATAGATTTTCACGAGATTTTGATGTTCCATTGCTCTACGACGGAGCCTTTGACCAATTAGTCGAAACGTTACAATTTGTCAGATTTCAGATTTTGCTGTTCGCACTCTACCAATTAAACTACTTCCTGACAAACCCTTGCCGCCTTTGAAGATAGAACAATAAGGGATTAGCATTGTCAGGTTTCTAGATGCAGTGCGAATAGGGCCATATCATATTTGCAGTGCGAATAGGGCCTTACACATGTGCAGTCATGTGATGGCCTGTGGGTGTTGTTGAAAACACAAATTCCATGACCATAGGCGCCGGAAGCTTCGTGATGCGGCGGGGGCAGGAACTGCAGAAAGGGCACTTTGTCAGGGTTGCCATTTGGGATTATTCAATCCCAGATTTCACAAAACTGGGACTGTGGAAAAGCTGTTGGGATCAGAAATTGATATCTGGGAATCAAAGTAAAAATTGGGATTCACATCGACTGTTACACTGATTGAAAATTTGAAAGTTATCTGCTGTTGATCTGGTTCATCATACTTCATACACAATGCCCAAGTTTAAGTCTTCATACTGTGTATTTTGATGCAACTCAATTCTTATGTCAACTAACTCGACTATTTATGTCAAATTAAGCAACCGTAACATTGAATAATGCATAATTCATTGCCCAGGAAATATAGAAGGCAAAGCTGCAGAGGGATATCTATCCCTTTCTATAACCTATGCGAAGGAATCTACTTTTGAAAAATTTGGGATTGATTAAGGATTGAGTTTCAGAAACTTTGGGATTGAGGATCTGCCAGCACTTGACAACCCTGCTTGGGGTGTTGAAGTTTGCTGTTGAAACACATCGGGAATCGTCGTTTAGTTTAGTCAACGACAAAGCCTGGTTTTAGGTGATGGCCTTGCCAAGGGAGGCAGGGTCGGCGGTCTGTGGACGTAGCCCCCAGGGAAATTGTGGGTTGTTAGGCCCTAAAGGCTCTCAGAAATAAAATTGGGGCCGGCCTGCACAAGATTAGGGCAGGAGGGGCAGTGTTGGAGCCGAAGGCAAATCATTGAATTTTTCTATTAACATAATCGAGCATTCCTAGGTGGGAGGGGGGCGAGGGCGGGGTATCATAATAAAATATTAACTTGAATATGTGCCACCCATACAGCTGGGTTTTTACCATCAAAGATTCTAAACATAAAGAAAATGTTAACGAAATTGTCAATATATGAAAATGGTTATTAAATGGCCTTGTCACTCACTATTCACAATATTTGGTTTTATAAAAATCATGGCTGTTATAAATGGGCTGGTTGTAAAATTTTATTTGCCCGCCAAGTTTTTATACCGATTTATCCTCCTTATGTTCCTTGAGTACTTCTGAGGGTACACATCTTTTGTTTATCATTTATTATCTTTGCCGCTCTCTCTCTTGTGATCTTGTCACAGACAATCTTTTCATTCTCTGCATTTTTGTGCTGGTATTATCATCTTTCTGGTATTTTCTAATAGATATTAACATAACGAGAGTAGTCAACATATTCCAGGGCACTGCTTGCCCCCTCTGCCCCTGTTCGAAGACTGCCCCTCCAGCCCCCCTTGTGTAGGCGCCCCTGATTGCTGGGGAGAACAGAGTGAGTCTAATACCCAGGGTTAGTGCCCAGCAGATGTCAAGCACAGCACAAGTACAACCACTGATCTAAAAAAATTTTTTTAGATCAGTGAATACAACCGAATACTCCAGCCCCATCTTCAAGAAGAGGCTTGCCCTGATCAGGTCTTGTTGAAATGGAAAATTGAAACCAAATGTTTGAATCAAAGTCAAAGCTGAACAGAATAATGGAGAAAATACGAGTTACTAAGGTCACCTGGATATCTCCACGGGTTTTGCTGTATGTAGCTGGATTTCTGGTAACTCTAGTGTTCTAATATTGTCGATTGCTCTTTTTCTTCTTTGCTTTGATTTACGTTGTGTATGTGCTCCATGGGCAGGTGCAAAAACCACGTCTGGAAGCCAATGTCAATGTATCAATAGATGCTCGAAATCATAGTCAATGGTGTGATTCTATCCTATCCCCCAGCTAATAAAGTGTTCAGGGGATGTATATTGCAGCAGTCTCCAAAAAAAGACTTGGCGAGTGCCCTATGAAGCTGCAGCCCCAACTTGTCTCACCCTGCTAGAGTGGAAAGAATGTAAACATCACTCCAGATATTAGCCAGTAAATTACTGATCTGCATTGAAAGTTCTATGTTTCAATGCTAACACCAAAAAGCTGTATTATACAATGATTAATAGAAGCTATTGATCTACTTTTTTGCCAACAGTTTTTGTTTATTAGTCATATGCTGGCCCAAACCCATCCACCTTTATGCCAACGCATTATTCTTTCTTTGTTTTATACCAGTACACCATGGATATTAACAAGTCTACACTAGACGCTCTAGTGTAAGTGACATGAAAATTACAATCCACCCAGCGCTCCCTAGTTTTGTTTGCTTTTATGGTGCTTATAATACAGAAATCCAGTGGTGGTACCAGACATTAGGCTGTGGGCCTAGTTGGCAAACATTGCCTATGCATAGCTGTGAGCAACAACACATTATCAGCAGAAGCGTTTTGAGCTGTAAACAACCATTTCCATATATACATAGCCATAGTATAGTTTAGACAATTTCACTGATATTGACCTTCAGGTGCGAGCACAGGAAGTCCAGTGCTGTTGTGTGCCTATGCAAGTTTTGCAGCCTGGGCTATGGGTTGCAAAGTAAAAAATATTTATATCATGCCTGTTGTGATCAACAGAGATGCCAATTTTACCAAGAGAGAACCCCCATGATCAGCTTTTGGTTACCTAAAGGCAATTTCAAAATAATCACAACTTTGCTAAAGTACTTACCATCACCAAACAGTTTCTAAATGAGTTTGAATAAAATGTATTTTGATGAATTTGGGGCCCTCTGTGATGCCATAATGGCAATTATCAAAACAGATATGGGGTATTATAATTAGGGGATTACCTTGTTATAAAGCCACCTTTCCCTACCTCATGAAAGTAAAAACAGTCCACCATCACAGAAATTTTCTTTTTTGTGGACACTACAGGAGGAGGTAAATTTTTTATAAATTTCAGTGTCTTTAAATACATACATTTCAAAGTATTATTCTGTGAAATTCCCTCATTTTGTGAAAAATCTCAATTCTTCACCACTGATTGGCACATTCTGAAACCTTAAGTTTTCAGCAGATCCATTATTACAGCAAATATGAGTAAACAGGCTCAGTGCTAACTATTTGTGCATTCCTACATTCTGAAGAGGAGCAAAAAGTTACAAGCCTATGTAGGGGTTGTCAGACCCCCAATATTTCCAACCAACGATATACTCCCAGACTAAAGCATCTTTGTTGAAAATGGTCCTTTCTTTGGCTCTGGGACCAGGTGAGTGCATTATTGACAAGGGAAAATGTTGGTTCATTGAAAACCGATAATAACTTTCTTGGTATGCCCTTACATAGATAGAGATATGGTGCGGAATGACTCTCAGTGAAGTTATACTTATCTTGAAAAATGAAAAGGGCCAACAAAAGGGCAAATTTTGGTGTACCTGTGAATTTTGATTTGAAAGAAGCAGTCCCACTGGTCCTGACACCCTCAAAAATGATTTAATTTGCACCCCAGATTCTGAATTCTTCTGAATCTCCATGTACCTTGACATTGTCATCATCTCATCACTGTCGTCTTACTTCAAGTCATGACTTTCTCTTCCTCAATCTCCAACACAGCACCGATCTAATAATGTATCATGTTTCTTTTTTTAATGTGAGAAGATACAATGCAACAGTCTTTTTTCATTATCTACAAATCCAAACACTTTCTTTATGTTTCTACCTCTTTCCTTTGCATAACACCCAGGGATTCTTTTGTGCATTACATTCACACCAAAAGACACTTTAAAATTGTTGACAGTAAGCAGAGGGTTAGTGTATATGGAGCAAAATTGATTATTTGATTGTATTAAGGTCTAAATTTTATGTGACTTGTGCTGGTAGTGTAACTTTAAGCGGATCAACTATAGACAGGTTCAGTTAGATACATGACAATAAGTTTCAAAAGATGATATTTTCTTAACTACAGAAAACTCGTTGCTTGATGTTTTATGATCAACAAAATGTACTAAATCCAGGAACAAGGTTTTCCCTAGTGTCAAACAATCTTATTTATTATTGGCTTTCTGCTGTACAGTCTAATAGACCCTGTTTACATCCATTCTCTATATATTAATGCATATTATCTAGTGTGTAACAGATAGCATCTTTCCAAAATTATGCAACAAAGTTGATACAAAGACAAGGGTAGCTGAGACAGTATTGGTGTCAGTAGTGGTGCCAGGGAGGACTGAGGGGGCATGTCCCCTCGGTTCTAGGCAGGATCAATTTTGTATTTCGTCTAAATCCGATGAGCAAGTGTTAGAAGAGGGGTAATATTTTGGCAGTATACTTTTGTGATGTAATCCTATGATTTTCAAACTGCCTTTACATAGCCAAAAGTTAGTCATGGGCCTTCCCTTCAGGTAAGATTGATGTCCCTAAGTGGCAATGGCAGTAATGGCAGCAAGAAAGATTCTGATCGAGATTATTTTAAGGAACGAAGCTAATGATCGACTTTTGAGGACACCGTCTTACCAGTTTTGCTAACGGAATATATCTCGTCAAAGAATGAACATGTTTCAGAAGGCAGCTCTTCAAAATAATTAAGTGATGTCGCATTAGTCTCAACACACCATGAAGATGACAGACAATATATCAGAAATGTCCCATTCTCTCATCCTGCCTCTTTCATCAAGAAAAACATGATACAGTTCTACAAGATAATTTGATTATTTAAGGTGCTGATCAGCCGAAAGAGAGAGATGAAGTTCCCGAAGTTTAAATTTGGGGCAAAAAACAGGTCATTTAATTATACCTGGTATTATATACAACTTGGCAATGAAAAAATTCATCGAAATTGGCTATCATGTTTTCCCAAAGAAGATGCAGCCTTATATTTTTGGTGACAAAGACAAAGAAGTTACCTTTAGCAAAGTTGGTTGCCGCAACTGGAAAGATGCTCATGAAAAGTTTTATCAAGCAAGGAAAATCCCAGTCTCGCATTGATGCAACTATTGATTTCGTCAGTTATGGTAACCGAGCCTCAGTTGATAATCAGTTGTCTAAAGAAGCAGCAAATTTAGAAAGAAAGAGAAAGAAGCAGACAGAGAGGAGCAGAAACATAATGAAAAAACTTTTTGATATCAGGGCCTAGCATATAGAGCACAACGCGAGGACACTTCTTTGTCAGCCAGCAAGGAAAACTACAATGCAACTGCAGAGCTTTATTCGAAATATAACAAGACGATAGCAAGCCATATTTCAGACATTGAACGGAAAAATATGGAAAGAAAAGTTAACAAAAAGGGCGATGGGACTAAGATAGGAAACATTGTTACATTCGTGAGTGTAGAGTCCTAAAATAAAATAAAAGATATAGCTGGAAATGTTGTGTCAATGCTTTTAAAAGAGGTAAAAGCATCTGGTACTATCGCATTGCAATGGATTGTACAACTGACAGTTCCCACAAAGATCTGCTCTCCATTGTTATTGGCTATCTAAACGATAATCCGAACATTACAGAACGTTTGTTGTGTGTTGAAATTGCGATAGATTCATCAGCTGAAGGTTTATTTAAGAAACTCAAAGATTACTTTGAGAAGAAAAATATAAATTTTGATTATGCACTTGGCCAATTTTGAATTTTAAAACATTGACGGAATACCTATGTGAACTAAAATTGATGAAGAACAAACAAAAAAGTGAACAAACAAAAAAGTGAACAAACAAACAAAATCTCCTACTGGTAGAAGTTTATTTTTATACCAAATGTTCCTTGTTGTAAATTGCTTACTCGGAAATTTCCTTTGCTCCTTGTTTGCCCCCCCCCCAGTTTTTTCAAAAGTTTCTGTTAAAATTCAATGTTTTCTTCCAAAGCTGTTCAATCGTTTTCTGTCTCTGTTAGGGTTGCTCTCTTAATTTTGCTCAATGCGATCTTTATTGCATTTATTTTACAAGCCCCGATAAGCGTTTTGGTTTTGTAACCGAGGTGAACATGATTGAAATTTTGGCTCTTTTCTGTAGTTACCAAGAAAAATTAATTCTTGAAAATCATTTGAATTCTATATTTGTTGAAGATATACCTTCTTGGGGCGGGGTGTGCAGGGTAAGCCCAAACCAAGATTCTCCGCATCCTATTGAAAACCATTTTTTCTCTGGAACCCAGCGTAGGGAAATACCAATACCATCCCAGTATACCTTGACAATCTACCATTGATCATCAAAGTTCTATGATTTGAGATTCTGTGTAACAGAATTATTTGCTTAATCTCATAAGACATAACTACTATGGAAAAATTTTACCGATCGACTTTACAAAGCTATAAGCCTTTTATTTTTCGATCTTCTGTTGAAATTATAATGTTCAAGATGCATTATTGTTAAATAGATAAAATTCAGTGGAGTAACAGACCAAAGTAACTTTTAGTTGAAGAGCAAAGGGTCTGGAACCTTTAGGGGCCCCCAGCCACAATTTTCTTTATTTTTTCCAAGGGGACGCAGCTGCTCGTTACGCTACTAATAAAACTATTTGGCATAATGATAACAGCCTTGATAGAGCTCTACCGAGGACATACTTATCTAGAGAGCGCTAAAAATCGGTGCCTTGTAGCTAACTTTGAACCACCATGACACTAGTTCGCAAAGTAATGGCTAGCATTGGCCCCTATAACTGAAAGTTTTGCCCCTGGCTAGCCCCCCCCCAGGTTTTTAAGGCTAGATTCGCGACTGAAATTAAGCAAGTAGGTAAGCATTTTTTAGCTCTTAAAAGCTAATCTATTTACAACATATACCTGAAATTATGTTGAAAATTAATTAATATTTAAATCACAAATTAAAATACATAAACTCTTAAACTGAAATATCAGGGATAGCATTTCAAGTTTTGTTTCAAGTTTTCAACACCTTTTCTTCACTGGAATGCAATTTTTGCTCATAGAGTAAATTTATGATTATATATTCCATTCTACTTCATTCTACCTATTTTTAACTGCTAAAACTTGCCATGAAATGCTCAGGAAACTACGCCTGTGAATATGGTTTCAATTAAGGCTGTAAGAACGAGCCTAATCGTAAGCTCTGTCGTGCGTTGGTGTGACACTCCCTCTTGTGCCTAATTTCTGTGAAACAGTTGAAACGCCGTTGCAATAAGTTCTGTTAGGATTATCAGTGCTGGGTATAGAGACCTGCTATTGTTTAGTTAGTTGCTTTCCTGAGAAGATAAATAATGCTGCCTAGAGATAGAGAACTAAAGGAAAGACCAAACTGCTAATTGCTACCCAGGGTTTGGATAAAATCCTGCCAAATGTTTGTAGCCATTTACAAAAATTAAAGTGCTACAGCTGATACAGTACATTCGTGCAGAGGACATAAAAGAGTCGTGCTATTTTCTGATGTCAATATTTTCAGCGTTACAGAGTTATTATTTTCTGTCATTGTATGAAAAGAGCGAATATACAAGCTACAGTAAGATAAGAGAGCCTTTCTATCTACTCCACTCAAATACTTTTAAAAATGCAACTTTTATTGAAATTTTTCAGTATCATTCTCAACCATTAGAAGATATGTTCTAGGAATACCCTAGATACCAGAGCTTCGCATAGGGATTGTGAAGAAGAAGTGGCACGGAGAGACCTAAAGGAGGAAATAGAGCTCCTTCTTCCCATCTCTCCTCACCACTCTTCTCCTCCTCGTGTGTGATAAATTCATATCTTTTTATGCCGATTAGAAATGAATCATGCGACTCTAAGACACCATACTTATTAGGCTTATTGAGAAAGTTTTTAAATACTTCTCCGGAACAATTTTGATGTAAACTTTTGGCTTTATATTCAAGAATCGAATGCATTTCATATTTGTTATTTTACAGACTTAATTGAAATATATTTTTGGTGCTCATTAATTTTCAACCATTGCATTCTTTTGTTTGTAGTGATTATATTCTTTTTCTTTCATCATTAGAAATGCAAAAACTGCTGCTCAATGAAAAATTTTCTTGAGAAATGTGAACAATTTTTGGCGATACAAAATTTGAATTGCTTTGAATAAAGAAGTTCCATCAAAACGTTTTACCAAAAACGTTTGGTTTTTACAAAGCCATTATAGAGAAATTTGCTGTTTTTGTGGTTTAAATTGTTGAGTATTCTCACCTTTTAAAAGCTTTCATGTCTGTTCAGTTCTTATTCTCCACTTTGTTTTATTAACCTACACAGGATTTGTTTGCTGTGTCTCTTTTGGTACCGCTTCTTGCGCATGAAGTTAGAAAATATGGTGCTTCTCCAACAATGGTTGGTTTGTTCTTATCAATCTATGGAGCTCTCCAGTTACTAAGCAGTCCACTGATGGTATTGTATAAAGTTGCTTTTATTGACCTAAATTATTCAATGATCGTTGAATCTATTAAATCTGTGAAATCTTTGAAAAATATGAAATACATTGACCCTGTTAAATGCGATATGAAACCTATTTTTATACTCTTTTTTCTCTAGGTAGCACATAATTTCTTTGAGGCTGCCCCCAAGAAAATGATCATTTTTGCATCTTTCATTATCAAAACAGTTTTTTTTTGTTTTTTCTTTAGTATGCATACATTCTTTCAAAATTTTCCCCTAAAATCAAGCTGAAGAGTGCCAGATCATTCAAGATTTGAAATTTCGATTCTTTTGTTCAACAGGGGCAGGCAAGTGACCTGTTTGGGCGGAAGCGAGTTCTGTCATTTTGTTTGCTTGGAAGTGCTAGTGGATATTTTCTACTTGGCTTTTCGCATTCGTTGGTCTTCATGTTCCTTGCCAGGATCCCCACTGGTGAGTTTCGAAAGCTTTTACATCCATTTAATATGATGCTATTAAAATTGCTGTTTTACAGTCGGTCATACAGTGTTTCATATTGTATAGGCAGAGCTGTAAAGATTTGGTGTAAAGAAAGAACGGTTTAAGTCTCTAAGGATGGTCAATTGCACCATGTTAAGCTACAATGAACCTTTTATCGGTTCATTTAAGTGTTGCAGTATAAGTTTTAAATTGAGAAGAACCGTGTTAACATAACCTGATGTACTGGAACTCTTTATGATGCAAGAAAACGGTGAAAAGGTTGCGAACAGGTCTCAAAGCTTTTAATCTAAGCTCAGAGAGGTATTAATACCGGATGATGAATCAATTATGAAAAATTCATAGTCAGAGATGGAGCATGCTGTACTCTGAGGTCGGGGATTAACGATCGGAGGCTGAAATAGAATAGGGACTGTCATGGTCAAATAAAAATGTTGATAAAAAGTGGGTTTTTTACCGAAGGACGGCCTTTTTAATTATAATTTTTTATTATCATTGTTTGACACTTTTTTGGTAAATAAATTTGCTTAGTGTAACACAATTTTCAGTTGAAATGTTTTTGCCAGTCAAGTCTATATTTTGCTAGTCCACAAGCTTCTATTAATTCGATTTTATAAATGTCCCGTAGGATTGATTTTATTTTTGAGAGCACCGTTAGTTTTGGACGGCCTCTTGATCCTGTATATTTTTCATCCTCGTGTCCTATGGGTAGCGTTTTTATTATAATGTTTGCAAGAGCACTTTGAATTTCAATCGAAGGTTTTTGTTGATGAAATAAGGAGGTTGAAATAAGGTGTGGGAGTTTTCAATAGTCCTGAAGAAAATGAACGGGGACTGGGCAGTTCATTTTAGTTTATCGAGTTGTTGGAGAGCACGAGTAAAGGAAAAGAAAAGGCTTCATTTGTGCATAAAAACAGTAAATCGAAATGAATTTATTTTACCAAACGTTCCTTGCGGAAGATGCACGGGTAACATAACGTCAAAACACATAAAGAACACCAGACTGGTGTCATTATCAAGGAGTCTATCTTAGACTGATCAAACCTGTCCTTTTCCGATTTTCAACATTGGTTTTTGAAGTAGAAGTAGAGTGCATGAAACTAGAACTTTCTGTCTTGATTCAACGCTCTACGGGAGTGTCTTCAATGTGTGTCGGGACGTAAAAAGTAACGAAGAAAGTAACGGGAGAGGACAAAAAATGTTTATCCTTTCTAAGACTTCATTATAGTTTTAAGAACTGCACAAGTCTCCTTAGGACACCTAATGTTGCAATAACTAATAGTTTATTTACTCTGACAAACCCTGTATGCTGGGATACAATTTCGTTACTTTAATTTGATACATTTTTGTCATACAAAATCGTTTGCCGCTTTATTGGACTTGTTCACCATCGATATAAGTCATTGCGCATTTTATTGACATTATGCACGAAATGCCCGAAACGAAACCAAATGAAATAACTTTTGTGTGTTAATGATAACAAAGTTTAGTGACTGTGTTTATCATTCCTTTGGCCTCTTAGCCAAAACTCTTAATGAAAACATTGCTAAAACCATTTTGTAGAGTTTTGCTTTTAGAGTAGTGAGTTCGGTTGTAAATATGTGGTGCTCCTAAAGTATGATTTCCAGTGCCATTGCTATTTATTGTCTTGAATTTTTTTTCTATACCTTTCAGGTTTTTATAGATATATTCTTTAATAAAATTCTCTCGTTTGTAACTTAGATTTAATTTCTTATAGTATCTTGTATTTAGGTTTCGGTTGGCTTAAAGTAGCACGTGCGGTTGCAATAAGAGCCAACCTTAAATAAATAAAGAAAAAAAGAGAGAGAAAAAAATTTTCTACCGAACAGCATTTCATTTTTTCAAGACCTACTAACTCTTTTTTTAAGGTCTATTGAAGCATAGTCAAGCCATAATCAAGGCCTATGTTGCTGATGTGACCCCGCCCACCCAGCGTCCAGCAGCCCTTGGTACATTAAATGCCATTTGCAGTTCAGGGTTCATCATTGGTCCTGTAATAGGTGGCCATATTGCAATGAGCCAGTTTGGGTTTCAAAAAGTAGCAACTATCACAGGTTTGATTTTTTTCTGCAACTCCATATTTGTGTTATTTTTTGTTCCTGATACGGAGGTTGAATTGTCCTCTTCAGACTGCTCTTCTAATAATGAAAAGGTTGACGGTTGCGATGGAGGTCAAGGTAACGACAATAAACCTAGCCTCAACAAAACTGAAGCCGTCGGTGCTGTCGATGCAAAGAAGAATGAGTCGAATACAGTATTGCAGTCCGCTTCGGAATTTGTAACAGCTATAAGGCAAGTTCCATGGGCGAGTGTTGCCGATATTTTTGTTGTGCGATTTCTCTCAAGTTTGTCGATGATTATTTTCCGAAGCAGCTTTAATTTGATTTTAGAGTATCGGCATTCGACTTCACCGAAAACGAATGGCTATATTATGTCGTACAACGCTATCTTGGGAGTAGTGAGTGGAATGAGCGTTGGCTGGATAGCAAAGTTTTTCCGTTCCCCCGAGTCAATGCATCGTTTTTTTTCGGTCACGCTTGTCTTTGCGTTAACGTCGATATCTTTTGCTCCGAACATCGTTTACATCATTATTGCCTTGATTCCCTTATGTATATCGACTTCAATTTTGAGAGTTACCAGTGCAACTCTGATGTACAAGAAAGGCGGGGAGGCGGAAAAGGGCCTACTTACTGGTTTGAGTGACTCATTCATGTCAATGGCGCGTATGATAGGACCCACTGTTGGTGGGATTGCACAGGACATTAACATTTACGGGCCTGGTATTGTTAGCTCGTTTCTTGCAGGCTTCGGGACTCTCCTTGCGTTTGTATTTGATCTGGGAAAAGATAATGCATTATCTAAGAAGAAGACATCATAATTTTTAATATTTGCAACTTTAGCTTTAGATACTATACTGGGATAATTTGATTTGTAATTATATAATGGATCTGTATAGCAAAATTCGAGTAAATATCTATTTAAATTTTAATATGCAAGTTGATGTGTTGCTGTTTTGTATATACATCTGAACTTCACAAAACCATGACCTCTTTAATGGGAATTTTATCATAATTCAGTATTACACTAGTTGAATTTTCTGAACAGTTTTATCGTAGAGACCATTTTGAAAATTAAGAAGATTATTGCTATAGATTGACGTTTTCAGGATAACTGATAGTTAATCTAAGTTAATCTAAAAAGAGTTATTCTATTTACCAAACCGATGTTCGTATATCAGCAGTTATTTTAATGGAAATGCATTTATTTGTATATTAGTAGAATCACTGGTTTTTCAAATATCTGTCCTTGTGTAGGTCACTTCAAATTTTTCACATATTGGTCTCTGTTGTATTTGATACTATTACTTCAAGTGTCTGATAATTCGACCGCCTGATAGAACAAATTTTACCAAGCATGAAAGTTTTTTCCTTCGTGATTGCTCTTACTTTGGGAAACACTTGATGATTAAAACTTTCGATAATTCGAATAAATGTTGCTTTTACGTGAAGGTTTGCATTATCAGGCATCAGCTGTGAAGTACGTTTATTATTAGTTTAAGGTTTCTTTGTTTGTTTGTTTTAGTTTGTTGGTAATTATGAACGATGTATTTCATCAGTATTCTAGGCAGAGGACTCAGTTCACTGCCATACGATGAACAAATTTCGTTCAATGCAATGGGATTAATATCGTCTTCTTCTTCTTCTTCTCCTTTTTCTTCTTCTTCTTCTTCTTCTTCTTCTTCATCTTCTTCTTCTTATTTTTCATCTTTTTCTTATTCTTCGTCTTTTTTGTATTTTACCTGCTTCTTTGTATCTTCTCCCTTTTGTTTCTTCTTCTCTTAATTTTCTCCTTTTCGTTTTGTCTATTTCTCTTTCTCCTTGTTGGTAGAGAATGTTACACGGTTTTCACGTTTTCTGGTCTAACAAAGAAGTTACTTGTGTTCTTCAGAGCCAGGCTTTGCCTAGCTTTTTGGTTGCTCGCGAACTTTTTGATATCTTTAAAGAAAAGGTCGTCATGTCGCCTTTGCATTAAACGAAGAACTCTTTTAGTTTTTGTGTTCATATTCTATTATTGGACTAGCCCTGCTTCTTGTGACAAAAAACAGGTTTGAATTAGAGCATCAATGCATTAATTTGAATTATACACAGACGAGCTTTTTGTTTATGACTTCCCCGCTCACGATGGAATTTTGTGTAATGCTGCCTAAGGACATAATGAGAATCTGACGGAAAATTCAACAAAAAAATGGCTGTTCCTCTCTCGTGGAAGAAGAAGCGATAACTTGCTGTTCTAGGAAAAAACCTTGCTGAAGTTACATGTAATAAATATTAGGAAAGACCCGAAAAATGTGAGAAGCACACTTGATCACGTACATACATACATGACATCAGAAACTGTTTTGTGTATTGGCAGACATGCACAGCAGTAACATTTGTTCTGTTCTCAACCGCCAACCAACAGTTTCACAGTCTTTAAATTGCAAGCCAGCGATTCAAGGAAGGAAGCTGTTGGTGTGCGGCTCCCTACTGTATGTCTATGGCTATTGTTCGACACCACACCTGGAGCGTAATTATTGATAAGTAAGTTTGGGTGCCTTCTTGTCGTTGTGATTTTCGCGCACTGAGCTCTAAAAACTGATAATTCCCTATTTAATTAAGGCCCTAGGCTTCAATTTTCTGTTTTAGCATCCTGTTCTCTTGACAAGAACTCAATTTCTTTTAACGCACTGTATCCGATCACTGACGTACCCACTCATTGCTTATTACGGTTTCCATAAGCTATTTAAGCTGTTTGCAAACTAAGAATCTTTCTCGTCAGTTTATCAGTGTTATTGTTGCTGCTGTTGTTGTTGTTGTTGTTGCTGTTGTTTTCTAAAGTATGTGGATGATAGATCAGTAGCAGAGGGTTTGGTAGATATCGAATATGCAGTGCATAGTGTAGTTTTCACTAAATAATATTTTAGACATCGAATTTTGCTGTAGTTAAGACAGAATAATATTTTAGACATCCAATATGCAGAACATAGTGTAGTTTGCACCGAATAATAAAAGACATCGAATACGCAGTAATTGGTGTTATTACTCTGAATAATATTTAATTGTATTGCAAACGAAATGACAACCACGTTTCAGCAGCGATATGCATGGATGAAGCCTTCATCATCAAGGTATATAGATTTATAAGCAACAGATAGTGAAATGGGCCTACTTTTGCGTATCATAACGAAAACCTATCATTTGCACGACTACGTTTCTTCGACATACAAATTGAACCTAGTTTGAGTGACAGGGAGACCTAATTGCACAAATCATACAGATTCATCCTTACTAATTGTATTCATCCTATTAACCCGCCATCTTGCTGGCACTCTAACTGTACGATCTGCAGGTGGTTTGACTCAAGTGGTCTTTGGCTTTCCGCGTTCTCAGGTTAGAGTGACTCTATTATGAAAATGCACAGCTGCGGGTCTAGAAAGCTTGGACCGCAAACGGATTTTCGCCATTTCAATTTAAACCTCCAAAAAATCACAAAAATTAAATGTCAAGCAATTGAATGCCTACATTTAGTCATTGTTCGACGTTCATAATCTGAGAAGTGTTGATCGAAAAGTACCTTATTATGCTCTGTGTCTGCTTTTACGCACAATTTTCAAATTTTGCCCTGCCAAAAGCTTTTTTGAATGTAATTTTGATATATTTGGATTGCCAAAGCCCAAAATTTGGTCTCTTTGTATGGAGAAGAAACAATTTGGTTCGTGTTTTATCCACCATTGAAATGTAAACTGACATTGAAATGTCAGTTTTTACTTTGCAGCTCAAATTCTATGAACAGAATTATAAATGTTATAAGTTCGAACACCATTTGAGCACTCGAAAAAACTCGTTTCAAAAAACTAGTTTTTATTGTGTGGTTGTCATTCAAAATGATAAATCCAATTTTCATCTTTCGTGCTTTTCATAGTTTTTCGTTAAATCTCAACTGACAAAGGAAACTGATGATTTTTGATTTTGTAGAAATAATCTGTAAATTTGATTTATCTTTGTATGATTGCAATTTGCTCTAAACCTTAGCTTAACTTAACTTAGCTTAACTTCCTTTAACTTAGCTTAACTTAGCTTAACCTAGGTTAACTTAACTCAGCTCAACTAACTTAACTAACCTAACTCAACTTAACTTTACTTAGCTTAACTTAACTTAACTTAACTCAACTTAACTTAACTTAACTTAGCTTAACTTAACTTAGCTTAACTTAGCTTTACTTAGCTTCACTTAACTTAGCTTAACTTAGCTTAACTTAACTAAGCTTAACTTATCTAGAACACTTTTTAGTTTATTGCTTGTTTTAATTGTTAAACAAGAAAAATTAAATCGGGGCATTGACATTCTACTCGACTTTCTTTTTTCTAGAAAGTCGGTTTTTCATAGCAATATTCAATAACCTTTCTAACTTTTCTGAAATCTCTCTTTGTCTTTTACAAACTATCGACGTCTTATACTTGATTTAGTTGAAAATTTTCAAAAAATTTCGCAAAAGTCCAATCTCTTGCATAATTTTGCTCACTTGAATCCCCAATATTGGTATCAATATATTATATAATTTCTAATTAAGACGAATGAATAAATTAACAAAATTCTTTCCACATTCTTAGACCTATTGTACTGACGTTAAATTCTATTCATTGCAGTGGATTTTTTCATTAAGTTTCGATTCAATGTTATCCTTCCATGGAGGACGAAATTTCAACCGAAGTCCACGAAAAGCATTACCCCCTACGTTTGTCCGACTCTATGAAAACCCTTTCCAACGTTTTACAGAAACTACCATCTTTCGCTACTTCGCACAAAGTTATTTTTTAAACAATGCCTCTATCTCTCTGTTATCAACATTTGACATGTTACAATGGAACCTTTATTGTGGCACTAAGACCTCCTCTGTTCTTCCAGGGAGGGTTCTAATATGTTTTTTCTGCGTATTTACAGGGTTTTTCTGTGGTTTCATCTCTTGGAATGTCCGGAAACAAAGTATAGGGCCGTACCTTTTCCCGCATCAACTCTTGTGGCTATGTCGTTATTTCTAACCAGATTTCAAGCAACAGTGTAGCCAACAAAAGGATATTATCAGGAATAATTTCTGGATTAGCATCTTATTGATTTAGTTCAACGAAATTTAAAGCAACATATCTTTAGAAAATAAAAAAATAAATAACCTTTTTATAACGAGAGCTTGGCTGTTTTGTAAATACAAGTTACAAATCTATTGTAGACAGAAATAACCCCTAGTTAAATATATCAGCTGTTAAAAATACTTTTTTATACGTTTTGTTGCCTTTGTTTTTGCCGTTGTATTCGTATAATTTACTGCAAGTCAGATAAAACAGAGGTACTCTGGTCTCCAAGACAAAATCAAGAAAAAGAATTCTAGAATTTTGCGTTTTGTATGTATCTTGCTTTTCAAAGCTAACCTACAAGGCTAGTATTTTTATGGATCGTGTGTTGGTTAGATCATTAGTAAGTTTCGCAATCAAATTTCCACCATTAATATGAATTAAGCCTTTTGTTTGGTCAGGTATACTGTTTGCCTAGTAATGGTAAAACCTTAGATTTTAACAATAATAATGAGAATAGTTATTGATTGGTTATTTACAGCTAGTATAATAGATAGCTAAAATTCAGGTATACTTATGAACAAATCTTTTTTAAACTTTTCATTTATTCTGTTAAAAACGTTTAAATCTTAGTTCAGGAAATAGGCATTGCATGATAGTGCCAAGGCCCCCGGCCCCCTCCCCGGTATCCAAGTCCTTGTAAAGACACCTCCATCAGTTTTGGTTGAAAAAATTACCCATAACGAAAGAAGCGATTTGCGGGACCTTCCCCAAGTAGAGGACCATTTCTAAGGCATCATAAACATCTCTTTTGTACATAGAATACAGGAAAAATACATTAAGCCTGGCATTTTCTATGGCAAATAATTTCTGTTCTTATGCCGTTTGTATCACCGTTCATTCAACATCATTTACACATGCACTGGAGCATCTCCTGAACTGAGGGGTGAATCAATATATTTTTTTTATTAAAAAAGTATCTAGGCCAAGATGGCCTCTAACCTAATTAAAACATAAAAATAACGATAAAAGTTAATAGAATTACTGCTAGTATAATACTTATATAGAAGCCTCGTACGCCTTAGGTTGGAATTGTGTGAACATATGAAAAGACGACAACGATAGCCTCTCAAGAATCAGGAATGATGTAATACTAACCCCAGGCGATCACAGTGGGCGATACTACAGAAGTGTGGGCTGTGTGGTTCTATAACTTCATAGTGATATCAGGCCACGCCCGATGTTTGTAGCGTTGTTGTGAATGTGGGTTTTTTGGGTATAGAATACATGCTATATATAAGTATATATGTAGAAGTGATATTATATAGTTATTTTTGATACATGTAGGTTTTTTACATTTTTTCATACGAACCAGTAAATTTAAGTTCAGGCTGATTGTTCTTAATTTTTTCGAAAATCTGAGGCTGGATTGTTCTTAATTTGTTCTTAATCTAATAGGATGTAAGTAGTGCGAGTGCTAGCTTTTTCGCTCTAGGGAGGTGTTCAGGCCTCATTTGTCAACAAAGTGAGTGAGACAACCTTCAGTTGCTGACAAATTTGAATATTCACCGAAAAAGCACCCACACATCGCTAAAAATCCTCGATTTTGAGAAAAAACGTTGTTCAAAATTGCATTTTGCAGAAGCTCAGCCTCAGCTTGTTCTTAATTTGTTCTTTAACTTTTGACCAATTTTGAGGCTCGTGTTCTTATAAAATTGTTCTTAAAAAATATACCATGGTTGCTTGGTGGTGATAAACTCGTAGTGAAATACACATATGCATTGAAACAAAGACAGAGAAATAATTATAGAAGATTACAAATTAGGTAACAACTGAAAAGAAATATAATTTTTTCTTCCTGAACAAGTTAGAACTGTGATTAGGTCATACTACCTAAAATCTTTTCCATTAAATTGATTCCAGTCAATTTAAATGCATAATTAGGCCATTATACAATCATCTAACGTTCGACTATTTGATTTATTCTACGAAATTTCGTCATTAAATTTCGGAAAATTTGAATACTTTTAATGAGTTTCATTTATCTACAAGTTCGCTACAGTAATTATCCTCGTAATTTCTGTTAATTACATTTCCATTGACAAGACTAGGCTAATAATCGATTCGTGAAAATTCCTCTCAGCTGTTGGTGTGTTTTATGAGTTCGGTCATGCATTAATAGTGTCTGTTTCCATGGTGAAACTGCAGCTTAGCGGATGCAACCTTGGCTATCCCAGTCTTTTATTTGCTTCTGAAAGCTACATGGTATTCTTTTGTTTATCATTGGTAAATTTATTGTGGTTATAAAACTAAGGCAGTGATAATTACTACTGTTAGAATTTTCTTAATTTTGAAATTTTCAATTTGCATGCGAGATGCGTAGTGTGTTGCGCGATGAATTTCTGTAGAGCTGTTCAAATAAAAATTACAGTTATTAGAATTCAGATCGGACTTTTCTTGGCATAAAGGATTACGTCAAGCCTATCTGTAATTAAAGTAAGGTTTTTAGATCCAAAGACATTGCCAATATTAATGTGTGTATTAATAAAATTATGAAATTGTACATCGTCTTTCGAGTAACTTTCTTGCTTCCGTGAAATCTTTATTAATGAACACCTCCCAATCAAGAACACCTTACTTAATCAGATAGAAAAGCATGTCCCAAAACAGTTGTTCTCTTCACGACACGCTTATATCTCTTAAAAAGAGAGTGAAACTGCAATATATGGACTCCTACCAATATATGGACTCCTACCAATATATGGATTCCTGCATAGTATTTACAAACGATATAACCTATAACATGTTCAGAAAATGATTCATTGTTAATGTGCATCTCGCTATTTGTGAATGGTTTTTGCGGGAAGATGACGCCACGGGGTTGCCTAGGTTGTGTTTATCCTTCCCTTTCCAACATTTAATCAATTAATACCCATCGAAATAACTCGAGGGAACTGGCGGACATCTGGAGGCAAGGGGGATTGCCCCCCCCCCCAGATATTTTGGAGGACTATGACTTTTTTCTAAAACAATGGGAAAATCTGACGTCATTTTATAAAAATAGGCTCCACCCCCCCCCCTAATATTTGACCAATTGTCCGCCCCTGCTGGAGTGTAAAAGAACAGCATGGGGTCCATTTGTCAGTGATGTGTATGTAGAGAAAATAACATGATTTTCCAGCACTATAGAGGGTGTGTGTTCTTGATATCTACCATCAGCAGCAGTGTCTCAACACTCCATGCTCTTGGATTAGCTTCCTCTTGCAACAAACTCTTTTTTGGCAAATCTTACATTTTATTATCGATAATTATCGTAGAACAGTCAACATAATATGAATTGTCATTTTCTTGGTGTGAGCCTTTTTCAGTATAGCAAACCTGTCTATGGTACTGAAACAGAGCTAAGAAATACACTTTCGAGAAAACCTTCTTAAGCTCGTTATAAATTCATCGTTAGTAAGTGGATAATGCCAAGAACTCCACGCCTTCCATAACGTTCCTGGATAACATTTCAGAATCGTCATCCAGTGCAAAGCCATTTGAAAATTTACTATATGTAAACTACATTGGATTGATTATGATTTTAAGCGTTTTGTGGCTGGACTATTCTGCCAATGCAAAAATTGAATGACAATGACATTCTAAAAGGTTTATTGTTTGTCTTCAAAAAAGCTTTTTTTATTTTGCATGCGTAGTATGCAAAAGTCCTGAAGAGGGGCAGCTTCGGTTTTTTCTTTGATTTCTGTACTTTTTGAGTTCCTACTTGTAATTTTTATTTTACACTACTAGCCATCGACGTTTGTGTTGAACTTCCACAATGCACACATTTGAAAGCATACACCTATTAGAAATTAATATGATTATTCAGTAATGCATTAAGGTTAAGTCTTTAAAATGTGTCTTGTACGACCTCAGGACTCTTAACGGCTTTTTCTGCTTCATTTGGATCACCCAGAATACGTACTTTTGACGTCGTTACCATTATCACTATAAACGTCTGCCATGAATAACTTTTAATTGAATTGAATTAACGTGAATGAATTGAATACTTGATCATTGAGTTGCCTTTTCAAGGGCCTCCGAATGTTGCTGTATTTCTGGACATGAACAACAGCAGCAACATCAACAGCTTACTTTATTTGCTGACATGAATTTTTACATTGCCATTGTAACATCAGGCACCGCGGAGCAGGGGGGGGGGCGGGGGGGATTTAGCCCCCCCCCCACTTTTCTCAACGCTCTGCGGTGCCTGAACATATCATATATCCTCTTTGAATGGAAATCAGAAAGAACTATATAAGAATGTTGGCTTGTCAGAGTGTTGGAAATAATTGATACCAAGAAAAGACATTGGTCATAAGTGATAAGAAGAAAGAGTCATGAAAAATCAATATACGTGTAGTGTTTTTCGTGTGTATGAATATAATGAGGTCATTTTCGTGAAATGACATCAAAGCGAATCTTTTCATAATTTTATGGGAATCTCGAGGTTTTTTTATTAAAGATGCACAGATATGAGTCAGTTCTTCACAATATTTGCCAATAAATCGACCGTCATTTGTTAAGATATTCGTCATTTGTCAATGATTGTTTTTCATTATTATTATATTATCTTAAGTTGTTGTATCTTTTCCTTTTAGTACTTTAATTTGTCATGGGTTCTTGAAAAAAATTATCATTCACTTCAACATTAAAATCCTCATAGCTAAATACATAACAAGGAAGAGATGTTATTATTTATAAGAAAAAATTGACGGTTAGTGATAGGACCGTACGAAAAGAGGCGGTCAGCTTAGCATTGTCCTTAATCTGAGAAAGTTCCAAATATGACCAGAAGAAAAACGTCACCACAAGGTTTTAGCCAGGGG